GATATTACTTCGTTCAGTTACGTATTGCTCCTCTTGTTGTCGTCGTCGTTGTATACCATCACTCTCCTCCCCCTTTTCAATGTTCCATCGGTCGTCGCATAGGGAAGGAAGACTTGGTCTATGATTATGGATGTACCAACGGCCACCATCATCCTTCCTCTATATTGGTAGTACTCCTCTTTTCTTATCTCATGCATGTATCCCTCCTTTTACTTCCAATACACTTTTTGCTACCATTGTAAATCATCATTCGCTTATTTCTTATCCCACACGATTGCTTTGTGTGAGCATACAAGCATTCATCTGAGAATGGATTATCATCTGATACAACAAAGTTTGAGCTCCAGCTCCTAAAACAGGCAAGGTATCGCATCATCTGCCCCTCAGCCAATGAAAATGGAGGGCGATTTCGCCATCGTCGAGCTCAAAGAGTGGTCGACAAGATGTATTCAAACGACTCCATTCTTAAAAGACGGAGCGGTGACCATGCAACGGTTGTTCCCCTCTTGTTTCCTCACACAACATGCAACCCATTCGACTCTTTACTTTCATTTACAAACTCGATATCATATTTTATTTACAATTGTGAATCCTTATTGCTGCAACGTTTACCCCTTACAGAGTAAAAGGTGCACTTGCCGCCTTGACGGGCACGACCACTATCTTCCTCAAAGGTCTTGCACACCTGATAAGGAGGGGTATACAGATGAAGCGATACTGCACCATGTTCCGGGTCAGGGTTAGCAATACGGTGCAAGCCAATCTTGTCTAAAAGGTAAGCAAGAGTTTAGCCGGTTTTGTTTTTTTTTTCTTTTAGTAATAGGCAGGGGGGAGTTGTTGGGTTGGGCGAGTGTATGTGTGGGAATTCTTAGAATCCTCCAAGAAGTAAGAAATATAACTCACCATGAATATAGGTCACTTCATTCGGGCAAAGACGTGTGAGGTTGATGACTTTCATCTGTTTTCCATCAGGTCTTTTCTCATCACCATCAGCATGTGTCACCACAGCATCAGTGATATCTGACGAATCGGCTTCCGACAACGCTGATGAATCTTGTTTGGGGGACGACGACGACGGCTTTGGCCAAGCGTATTGGGTTTCGCTCAGCTCACCATCCAATACTTTCATGATGCAATGCGACCCAGCGTGATTATGGATTGGACTAAGCACCAATAACAACGTGAGTCAGCAGGAGTACAACAACAACCATGACAATGCCGTGTGAAAATAATGACGACAAGCCCGGTTGCAAAGAAGGAAAAAGAACACCTACCTCTGCTGTCCTTTGCTCCATGCCAAGATCATGAGATTAAACTAATCGAGCCGGGAAAAAGAAATCAATATTAGTATCACAGCGACGACAACAACAACAAAATCCAACACAACGACGATGATCACACACAACACACACACACACGCCATGCCATTTGCCTTTTTTCCATCACCAGCTGAAACAGCCAAGATGAAAGCAAAAACGACATCACTCTATCACACACACACCAAACGATTTACACACCTTGCCATTGCCATCATCGATCAAATTACGAGTATAGGCACGAGAGTGATCAAAGATAGTGTATTGGGACCAATCCTTGGCATTGGAACTGTATTGCTCCATCAAGTGGATGATTTCGTTGGGATCAATATGCTCAGAGTCAAGACCACCATCAGGACCAAGCACAGTATGGATCTTTTGGATCAAGGTAGACAAGGTGAAGTCTTCATGAACTTCATGTTGTTGTTGGGGAACAAGAGGAGCCATGGTTGAAGATTTGTAGTAAGGAAGAAGTTATTGAACAAGAAGAAGTGGGACAAGGAAGAAGAAGAGGACAGCTCATCAATGGCCTTTTTATCGTTTGGCGAACATCGGACTTGGGGTGGTAGTGGTAGTCCCCCACCTCCACCTCCTCCCCCCGACGTGGACACATCATCAGCATCATCAGCTCTTTTTTACACAAACGTACGACGGTGTTAATCTGATTGTGTCAGGTCGGTGAATGATTGGTGGATTCGATTGAAAATGGGGGAATATGCAGCATTGCATTTATGTGAACAAGGTTGACGGAAAAGGTAAGTGAATGATGGTAGACCTCAAATCCAGCAAGAATGATGTTATTGTGGGTGTGGGTGTGGGTGTGCGTATGTGCTACTCGTATTATGCTTGGACATGCGTGAGAAAAATAAACATAGAGCAATGAATGATTCCTGTCGGTTAGGTTTTGAAATGTTGTGTGGGCACAAATATCAGGGCAATGCAAGCAAAACATATGGAAAAATTTATCTATCATGTGCCAAGTACCCTAAATTTCAAATCCCCCACAAGGGGAGGAAGAAGGAACCATTCATCTTGGATTTTTCCTTATCAGGTCGCATGAACAATGCACTTTTCTTTGTTGTCAAAAACAAGCGGACTGCTATCGTAATGTTTTACTACTACCCGTAAGGTACTCAAATGTAGCTTTACTATTGGTGAGGTCATCATCGACTTGTAGTGTGAATGGATGTACATGGTAGCTGTGTGGGTACTCTTAGACACATGACCACTGATACGGAGTTTCAGATTTCCCAGAGTAGGCATTTTGATTGATAAATGTGTGGATGGTGTGTGGCTACAAACATTATCGTCTCTTTTTCTCTTCTTCTTTCTTTTCATTTCAGTGGGGGTTGAATCATGGTCGCTACCAAGGAGCATTGTTTCTACTGCTTTGACGTCCTTATTGCCCATTTGCAACAAGAACAAGCTCCTGAGGCAGAGTTTGAAGATGCACCATAGTATGTATTTCTCTTATCATGTTCATGGCGTGTATATATAGATACTAAACGTCCTTTGTAGTCCTCTCTTTGTTACTTGGAATATAGCGGCCTACGACGAAAAGCATTTACGAGGATGCATTGGCAATTTTAATGCGATGCCTCTACGACGAGGGTTAAAAGAATATGCTTTGACAAGGTAAGCACAACAGGAGAGGAGGCTATTACGCCATTTAATACACACACTTACATTACACCCTACGTAGTGCACTCCATGATCGGCGATTCAACCCCATCAGATTGCAGGAAGTGCCACTCTTGTCATGCGGGGTATCCTTGTTGACCGATTTTGAAGAAGGGGACGATTATCTTGATTGGGAGATTGGTAAACATGGCATTTGGATTGAGTTTATCAATGATCATGGCCACAAGCGCACAGCTACCTATTTGCCAGAAGTGATACCGGATCAAGGTTGGACCAAGGTTGAAGCCATCGATTCATTATTGCGTAAAGGTGGTTACCGTGGCAAGATTGATGACAAGGTGCGCAAATCCATAGTGCTTACACGATACCAATCCTCCAAAAACGAGGTATCCTTTGAAGAGTACAAGAATGCACGCCCTCATATGCTAGATGCTTGATCGATTTCTCTCTCTCTCTTTTTCATATTATCTCCACCACCCTCCCCCCATCCACTCATATCCCTTCTTTTCCCGCCACTCTATATTACAAAAATGGAAGACTATGAAAGTGTCTTGCTAATCATTCGCGAATGCTTTGGTAATAAACTACCTCATTGACGGTCTCTTTGCTATTTCAATTGCTCATGCTATTGTCTTTATTGCAGTCTATCGGATACCACCAAGAACAGCTGCTAGAGGATACAGGTACATTACACTACGAGATGATGCGGTACAACGAGGGGATCTCCATGGAGTCATTGGGAGGGAGGAACTCTTGCATCTCAACTGAACAACAACCACCATCTACAGAGCGGCTGAATGGGGCGATTTGGGAAGCTCGTATCTCTGGAAGGGCCGTTTGCGTATCATTACCAAAGGTGAAAGCTGCAGTATCCGCTTGGAAGATGCCAACACTGGTAAGGCTAACGATCATGATATTAAAAGATGACATGGATTAACTTGGGGATGTTAGGTGAGTTGTTTGCATTGTGTCCATATAGTACAACGGGTAGTGCAGTGGAAGCAGTGTTGGATTCCAGCCGCTATTTTGTGTTGAAGATCGAGCATGAAGGTCTGTATACTTGGGTACCACAATATACGAATGACATGAACTGATATGGACTATGGTAGGCCGCCACGCTTTCATCGGTATGGGTTTTCAGGAACGAAGCGATGCATTTGACTTTAATGTGGCCCTTCAGGATTTTGCAAAGTGAGTAAATTCAACAAGGAACATGATGTGAGAGACCAAGACACGAAAGCTGACCGATGAATGTATAGACAAATCCGAGCTGAAAAGCAAGCTGTTGAACGAGCCAAACAAGCTGAACAACTCCCAAAAAAGGATTACAGTCTCAAAGAAGGACAAACCATCAGCATCAGCATTGGTAACGTAGGGGTAAGTATTATTTGTTATTTGGGAATGACGGGATAGAGATGCTAATGGAACTATGCATTTTCAAAAGGCCAAACGCACAAATCGACCCAAGCCAGCAACCCCTGCCACTGGTGGTGGTGGTGGTGGATCGAGCGCAGGTGGTGCCATTCCTCTTCTTCCACCGCCTCCTTCTGCAGCACAAGTCAAACAACAACAACAGCAACAACATCGTAGCAATAATTTGATTTGATTATTATTATAAACCACCCTCTCTCGCTTTGAAACAATTATTGATGTGCCATCCACTTGTGTGTGCGTATATGTTTTGGAAGACAAGAGAACATCAGGAAGCAATGTTGATGCGAGTCTCTCACTCCTGCATTTATTCTTCTCCGGCAAAATAAAGGGGTTGAGAAGATAGAGACATGATGGTGATGATAAGCCAACAGCGAACTTTTTCGAATGATAAACAGCATAATGAAACTTTATTGTGAATAAAGGGTAACTACAGTAATACAATGAGTGTTGTTATTGTGATGATGATGGTGGTGGAAGCTCTTTGTCCCACGCCAATCCATAAAAGAGGGTATGTTTCGTGTCATTATTTGGATCATGTGATGATGATCATGATCATGATCACCATCCAAGTAGGGCACCGGTTGACACAGCCAAGGCGGCATAAACGAATCCGATAAAAGGTTTGATGAACGATGAAGCTGCTGCTGCTGATTGAGAACCATTGGGTGCCATCCCTGGTGAAGTAGGGGCTGATGCATCTTTTGCATCTTCAGGTGGGCCCACTGGATGCTGCACGATTTGAACATTAAGATCCTTGGCCACAGCTTCGCTCTTGGCAGTTACCCATTCAAGCAATCCCCATTCGGCACCACCAGTAACATTGGGTGTAGCACCCGCTGCTACACCTTCCCAGAGGTTTTGGGTCACTTGAGGAAATGTCCATCCAAAGTTGATACCAGGTGAGAGTTGCTTGATGGATCGATCCCATTCAAGATCGGGCAAAAGGAACTTTTGATACTCGAGAACACGATTCGTGAGCGTGTAATTGTTGAATAAAATGGCAGTTGTGTTTTTCAAATACGTTTCAAAACGTGTACGCATCTGCGGGTTTTGCAGCAAATTGTTGATCAGTACGCCACCTGGGAAAAGTTGGGGATAGTTTTTGTACGATGTAGCAACAAATTGACGATCCTGTGCAAGATTGACACCAAAGGTAGCGTCAAAGTCTTGGCCAAGGTAATACCATTTGTTGTTGTCTGTTGGATCACGGTAGGCACCATCGTTGGTTTGCTCCATCCAATAGCCGTCCCAATGACCAGCAAGGAATTCCATCACCATGAAACGCATGAATTGGTCGAGGTCAATAGCCTTGGACAAGTTGGCTACTTGGTTATCATCCTTGTAATTCGTATGATTGATTTGCTCAGAGATGGGTGCCAATGCACTTGAATCCTCGGGACTTGCAGGATTGGGAATCCATGATCCGTACTCGTCCGTGGAAATTTGAAAATCGGCACCAGATGCACCATCATAAAGGGGACCCAATTGTTGTGGTGGTTTGCCATCATAGAATACTGCATTGATGTATGAATACTGAACGATATCATCCAACATGCAAAAGGTGCCGAAACCTTGTCCATTAATGTAGAATCGCACGACATTGGCATCGCCTACATAAACTCCCATGGCTTGCAGGATATCGGAATAGAGCTTCTCACGCATTTGTGTTGGGTCTTCCTCCATATGTCGTAGCTTGATATAGTTACGATTGTAGATGTTTTGTCCTTTAGGCAACGTCCATCTCCAGCTTTGTTTGTTGTTGTTGTGTTTTTTTCCTGCTCCATGAATACCAAAAGAGCATCCCTAGATGTTTAAAACTTGCATTAGCTATCAAGAAAAGGAATTCTGTAACACCCTATTGTTGTACTTGCCTTGTACACAAGTACTTCTTCGGGACCAATAAATGTAAATTTGGTATCATTGTATAAGGTGGCAGGCACGTTCTTGACAAGATTATCCATGTCAGCAGGGTTGCCGGTCATGAAAATGGTGGGTATATAGTTGGAATCAAACATGGGTGCTTCCTTGCCACTACGTGTCCATGGCTAAGTCATACATTGTACAAGTTAGTATGTTACTGCATGTCATCAAGTAATCAAGCTTTACATTTTCAGGGATAGGGAATGGCAGCTTAGGGATGTTTGCATAGGTAATTGAACGATTAAAGAAATCATTTCGAGTCTTGTCACGGCCTTCTTCCAATGTTCGGTCAAAAGGCTCAGCATTGCCACCAGCCACGTACTGCATGCTTTGTTTAGTATATAAATGCTAAAATGATCCGCCTCCTTTCCATCATCGGATCCATTTTTGTCAATAGTGATAATACCTTGTATTTTGAATCAGGAGAAGCATTGGCATCACCTGTAAAGTAAGGCACGTCTGGATCAGAGGCAGTAAGCTTGGTGAGTTGACCATTGACTGATACTTGAACATCAGTGGCACCAGGAGCAACGACACGGAAAGTGACAGCTTTAGCAATAGCCGCCAAGAATAATAGATCAAGGATCTTTCTCATGTGATGAAAGGTGGAAACAAAAGAAAGAGAGAGAAAGAAGAAGATGGATGATGGAAATTATGGAAGGAGAAGATCGACTTTATAACTTTTTTTTTCTTGTTGATGTGCATGATGTTTTTGTCTATCCATGTATGTCGAGTTGTTAGGAGCAAACAACCATGACCTCACGTGTGAGCGCATGGTTAGGAATATCTATCCAGGTGCAGCTATGTTATGTGATAATCACTAAAAATATGTACGTACACAGTGGGGTCATTCAAGGTGGGTGGGTGGGTGGGATTATGCATGTGGCTATACGTAGATTAGGGGCTTATGCTTTGAGGGATTCCAGAAAAGAAAATAATGCAGCAAAATGCTTTTATCGGATAAATAGTAATCATTTACATGTTCAGGGACAAGCGATATTGCTTAACACAGCACACACGCACACGCTTGGGATACGCACATACTCAAGGATCAATCAATCCCTTGATTGAAAAAAAGTTGGGATCCTATCGGAGGTCCGAAATACTCGATCCAATCATTGTTCCACACCACACCACACACACCACCTAAGAAGCATCAATCAATATCCGTGCTTTACGCGGGCCGCGCTTTATTCTCCTCTCCTCCTCCTCTCCTCAACCTCTTTATTCTTTCTCGCTCAAGATGATTGATGTCACAGTATCCAATGACGGCGACAGGATCCTCTGCAAGGAACACGCTCTTGAGACATGTACAGATTGCGACATTGATTGGACCTCGCACAATGCTCTCGCTGCAACACTGAAACAAGTCAAAGAGATTCCTCCACCCAATGCTGCCAATCCCGTACGTTCAGCACAAGTGAATCGACTCAAGGAAGAAGGCAACAAGTATTTCAAGAGTGGCAACTATACTGAAGCTGTTCGTTTCTATACCATGGCTGTGGACCTTTCGTGGGGACGTCCTTTATGGGAACCACTCGCATTCCAATACGTGCGTGAAGAGTTATCTCCTGTATTGTCAAATCGATCAGCAGCACACTTGGCTATGGAGAATTATGTCGATGCTTTGGTGGATGCGGAAATGGTGACTCGGTTGAAGCGCGAGTGGAGCAAGGGATGGTTTCGAAAGGGTAAAGCCTTGTTGGGCATGAATCGTTCTCAAGATGCTGCCGAGGCCTTCCAGACAGGATTGCGATTCGATCATGAAAGCGAAGAGCTCAAGAAAGCATTGGCCGAGATTCATCAACAAGATGCTTAACGACGAGTCCGCCATCATTATCACACACACACCATCCTTTACTATACGCACACACACACACACAACCCTATTTGAATCATTGTTGACACACACTCACACATCTACACTCACGACATCCCATGTACGACAACCATTATCCTCAATTACCCATTAAAAGATCATCCTATTTTTATATACACATACATCACAAAAGTTTGGATTTTATTTTTACTCTTCGACAACACGTCCCTCTAAAAGTAATGGATGGGTGGATGAGCACATCATCATCATGCATCTTCTTTTCAATTGACTTACGCTTATCAATCTCGAGTGGATTGCCTGTAGCTTCCTGGTAAGTGTCACTGGCACGTTGAGCGCTCTTCATACGTGATTCCTTGGACCGACCCATGTTATGGCTTTGAGCAACTTCGGCAGCAACATGTCGATCAGGGTCACTTTGGTTTTGGCTAAATACTGCTGGATCATTGCGTTCTTCATCTTGATTGTCGGCACTCCAGAAATCCGAATGAATGTTATCCTGTCGTTGGTCAGCAGGGACATAGGCTATGTATGTATATAAGAGAATTTAGTTTTAGTTACATTTGACACATGTACATCTCCCTGCTATGTATGACTTGCCATTATCTGCTTCATTGTAATTGGCATTTTGGGTCTCGCCCTCTAAAAAGACTCATGGCATGAATAAATGAAAACTATTTCATTGTTTGCTTAATTACGTACCGCGGTATCCAAAGACACGATGAGGATCATTCTTATCCTCAACAACAAAGTTAGCGTCGTTGTATTGGCGTTGTTGTTGTTGCTTCGACATTCTTAAAAAGACAATGAAACTTGCAAAAAAGAAATGCGTGGAATGCTTTATAAAGTTATATATATATAAAAGGTGCGTTGTGTGAGATGATTGCGAAGATATTACGTCAAGATAAGAGGAGCTTTGTGTGCGAGTGTGTTTGAGAGGAAAATTTGGGGACGATGAACAATAAACAAAAGAGAATGCTGTAAGAGGATAAGTATGACAAGGGAGTTGAGGGAGGGAGGGAAGAGGACAAGGGAGAGAGAGTGAAATCTGAGATACAAGAAAATTTCATGCAGGAACGGTGGTTGCTAGCTTATTTTGACTTTGGCATTTCAAGAACATGACCTGGCATGACGTATTTCATTTCATTGTTGTCATCCTCGAATTGTACTTTGTAAGTACCCGGCGAGCTAACATCCTTGTTCTAAATAAAACGTCATATGAGTCAATCTTAATATCCGTTGCCTAGCAACCACTTAACGTACCTGTTTTGGGGGTAGTATCACCGTTGCCTTGTAAAAGCAAGTCGTTCCCGGATACAATGCTAGCACATCTTGTCCTGCTTTGAGCTCTGGAAGGTGACGTATCTCATGGCTTTCTGGCACGGCAATAACATGCCTTGATGGTATAAAGTATCGCCTGTGGATGAAAAAAAGAAAAGTTCAATAACGTCATCCTCATGTCAATGTGGTCAATCTCCTCCTATTAACTTACTGTTTTTGCCCAGACTCATCTTGATCTATATCCTCAACATGATACCTACAAGACCCATGTGAGCATTGCCATCCATATCTCGAGTCCATGAAAACACCTACTTGTTCTTGTCGGGATGAAAGCTGATAACCACTGCAAGGATCCATTCCTCATTCTTATCCTTTTGCTTTGGTTGTTTGGCAGCGACCTAAGATTGCCCATTGTTTAGCATCATGTTGTCATTCATGTTTCTTCTCTTCCCTTACCGTGATACCAGGAAGAATGATGTCACTGTAAAATCAACGATTAGATGGGATGCATAAACTTGTATAACGTGTTGGTCGCACACATTAGAAACCCACCTATTGGATTTTTTGCCTGATCCAGGTGATGCATGCTTGAGCTCATCAGCTTCAGTTTTCCGTTTCTTGCGTTTTTGCTCTATATCATGAATGCATGAATCAATCATCCCATTACACACCCACACACCCACATGATCCTTCATCATCATCCTTGTTTACCATTACTGTTTTCGGATGCTTCTCTCAATGCAATCAAGACGGATACTTTCTCAATGATATCGTTGATGGTCCTAGATGTGGGGCATGTATGCATGAGATGATGATACGCGGATCACATCCATTCGACTTTTGGCATGTTACCTTGACTCGGTGGATGACAAGCTGATACCATTCTGGTAATACTCCTTGAGACGTTGAGACAACGTGGACGAGATGCCTACAACAATAAGGATGATGCTCTCCATGTCAACAAGCTTCTCCCATTGCCTATGCTGGTCTCCCTACCCACCTTCATCAAAATTGACAGCAAGGTGGATCTTGTTGATATTGTTCAAGACTGATTCGGTTTCCTTTTGGATGTTCTCCAATTTGGCGAGAGAGGTGCATATTTGCTTCCAAAGACTGAGCTCTTCATTGGTCTCTTCCAACGATGCTGATCGTGATGTCCGTGATTTGCGATCCATGGAATATCACAACGCACTGGTGTAAGTATATGGAACAAAGCTATTGTTGTGCGGAGAATGTGTCGTTGTCGGAAGGCTTCAAGTTAACGTGTGGTAAAAGATAGGATGCGCGTGGGCGAACGTGCCGCGTGTGTGTGTGTGTGTGTGTGTGTGTGTGTGTATGAGAGCCAATCTCCCATCATCCTTTATCGTTGTCGTGACTGTGGAGAACACCATCCAACTACTATTGCCACCCTTTTTACAACACATTGAATAAAGCAAATTTGATTTGAAGGGAGAAGACATCATTAACGTGCGTGTGTGATTGTATTAAGAAAGCGTAGATACCATAAAGAGGCATGCAAATGTTGGGGGGAGAGAGTGATTGGCGGCCTAGTGTAGACTATATACAAAGCATGGAGTCGATAATAAAAAAAAGAACAAGAAGTAGAAAAAAAAGGTATGATGCGTGTGTGTGTGTGTGTGTGTAGTGTGTGAGTGTGAGTGTTTGTGTGTCAGTGTGCATGCATGATTGTGAGAGTGTATAAAAAGATGTGGTGTGGTTGTGGTAGAAGAAAGAAAAAGAAACCATATCTATGAAGATGAGGATGATGAAGAGGAGATGCGGCGATGCAACATGGGTGAAGAGGAAGGAGACGATGCGTTACTGCTGCTGTTGCTGCTATTGTTCTTGGGAGCACACATAAGAGGTAAACGCTTTCTTGGCAACTCCACAACGATGCGTTTCCTTCGTGCATTTTCTTGACAAGCGGGATCACAGAACCAGGGTTCATCACCCGCCACAAAAGCATCTGATAATTGATGGTGTGGTTCTGCACATTGTTGATGCACAGCTTTTGGACAACCTTCACAGCGCACCAACACATTTCCTTCCCATGATTCTTGATGATGGCACACTGAGCAAAATAGCTGAAGCACAGGTCTATCACGATCATGGATAGCTTCGTTTGCAAATCCTGTCAGATCAAGGCGTGGTAACTTGCATGCAAATCCATAGCCCTTGTAATCGCATCCATGTTTACTAAAAAAAAAGTTGACAACATGATAAGTAAAATTGTTGGCCGATTCAACGCGTTTGGTGCACGTGCATCTACCATGGAAATGGTAGAAACATCATTCACACACACATCACCCCTGCCCTGAAAGTCTATACTTACTTGCACAATGTCCGCTTTCCCCATGGTCCAGGGCGCCAGTTGACACCTTCAGTGGTGCCACAGTATCGGCACCAGTCAACATTAGCCTTGGTCAACTTTTGATAGATCGTGGGTTGTTGCGTTGGGCGTGGTTCAACAAGTTGTTGTTGCTGTTGTTGTAACTTTTCCTCTTCGGCTTCTTCAAAGAGCTCAGCGCGCTCTTCCCACGAAGCGGTTGACTCGTTATCATCGGCTGCTGAAATGGATTGGAGATCCGCAACACTGCCAAGGAAAAAGGAAAGGTTCAGTTTCCCACCCAAATGGAAATTCCCGTCACTTTCCAGCTCCATCAGCTTACCTTTGGGTATCATCATCATCCGATGATTCTTCAGTTGAGGCATCCTCCTCAAAATAATCCATCAAGGGTGAACCGGGTAGGCTAACAGCATTGCTGGTTTTGGCCTTCTTGACGTTATCAAGGGTGGTGGTGGTGTTATTTCGGGAACGTCGTTTGCCAAGCAAAGAAGGTTGCTTTTTCTTTGAAGATTGTTTCTCGGCGGCAGCAGCAGCAGCATTAGCGCCCTTGTTGGTAGTGGTGGTGGTTTCATTAAGATCGAGACCAATAAAAAACAATGGATCGTCGTCTTGAAGTAAGTCAGAGGGAGAAAAGGAGGCAACATCAGATTCGTCGCTATCACTTTGCCCACAGATCGAGGAGCCTTCAGAGTCTCTTCCTTCCGTTGTAGTCATTGCAGGAGAGAAAAACACGTCCTTGACTAAATCCTTGCTATGCTCAACGACCATCGTATCATATGTAATAGTGGCATTCTCCAGGGTATGATGAATAGGTGGAGGGTACTGTGGGATGGGGGTGATATAGAATCATGCGTTGCCAATGGTGAGTTACGGAGTAAAAATAGAATGGCACGACGACGACAACGACAAACATGGGTATAAAAATGTGTGTGTGTGAAATGTGTGTGCATTGTGTTGCTATGCACTTTATGTCGTCGTCATCGTCGTAGGGATAAAAAACATTGGGCACTTACGGCAGTGGTGTGTGTAGCAAGCCGTGGATAATGGATGGGAGCAGCTGCAGCTGTAGTAGTAGTAGTAGTAGGCAGCGCCAGATAAGGTGGCAGCTGGTAATAATAAAAGGGTCCAGGCACAAACATAGAAGGCACAATGACTTGGTTGGGTTGTTGTTGTTGCTCGGGCATCTTTTGTCGTGGTGCGATGCGTTGGCTAATATGATACAGATCTTGCGTCGACATTGGGAAAAAGCAGAAGGAGTGGGTTGATTCAAGATAGCGAGTCTTATATAGGAGAAAGCACAAGTACGAAATTTGGGGGGTGAAAGCGGGGGGTGTCTAAAAAGGTCAAAGGGGGTGCGATAGCGATGAGGGGGAACAAGTGGAACCTGGATGTGCAGAGCCAAATTAGTTGCTGTTACTCAAACGTTTATTAGTTAGAGTCGATAGTGGCAAAACAAAACAAAAAAGAACGCAACACAGACATCGTGTCACATATTCTGGGCCAAGTCGAGTATACATCAATTACAACTCACATCAATTGCACACCCACGCCTACCCAAACTTGCATCCACATTAGCCCAGCCCAGCGAGTTGTAGCCTATACCTATACGCTACGCACGCACACCCATTATGAGATCCATTCTCCGCCTTGTTCTCGCTTATCCTTTGCACACACATAATCTCACTCCATCACTCACACGCTCACACACACACACACACACTCCCTCCAATATCCTCCTCCCTCACACATATACCCCTTTAGATTTTTCTTTGTTTCTTCCCCTTTTCACACCACTATCATTCCCCGGTAAAGAAAAAACCAAGTGTGTGTATTTATGTGTGCGTGTGTATGTGTGAGGTAGTCAAATTACCTATAAGGAGGTGGGAGATGTAAGAGATGTTTGAAGGAGGAAAGGGACCCTTATGCTTGATCGTCCGACATGGGATTTGGCAGCATGCACGCTCGATACTCATCACAAACAAAATATCCACCAAGCTGAATATGCACTATACACGGAGCACAGTGCGTAGCACCACACCTCGTGTTCCCTTCAAAAGCCTTAATTGGGGGACGAGTGATATTTTTGGGGGGAGAAAGGTGATAATGAACTAGGGTATAGCATGATGTTGAATTGTTGACGAGCAGCAAGGGAGATGTTGTTACCTGACGTTGCTGAAAAGGTGGGCCTAAAACTTGTATAACGGGTCTTTCATTTTTTATGCTTTATTGATTGCTATCATTGCCCACATACCATTAACGTCGAAACGGGCGTTGCTTTCATTTATAGCAACGCACTGACAATAATAATAACAGTGCCCGATATTGCATGCACCTTGAGCCATGCTTGTGTCTCATTCATCAGCCCCCGATTTATCACCTTGCATATGGATTGCAGAAAGACACCACTTGTATATCCGATATCATTTTTCTCACATGGTAAAAAAAAAGGGCTACTTACTGATATTGATGTTGATGATGGTGGATCTTGATTTGTGTGTGTGAGCGACAACGGGTTGTGTTACAAATTAACTTTGTATTGCTCGAGGGTTAGGTATCACACCAACACCCTTTTTTTGCATCCAGGAACGATTAACCTTGTATATATGTATGATCTTATCATGTACATCATCACACACCTACATACTCATGCGTCATTTTATTTTGGAACATAGCCAGTGAATGTGGATTTGCTATCTTGGGACAAGCGGCAGCTGCTGCCGGGGGTGATTGGATGGCTACGTGAGGTAAGCAACAGCAGGTAAAACAAGGGCGGGGAAAGCGGAGCCTATGTTGTGTGCGTGTGCGTGTATGTATGTATGTATGTGGGATGTTTCCATGTTACCATAAGTCGACGACGATCAGTCGTTCGGAATTTTCTATAAAGTGACACAAAGTCTATATCTGATGGCCAAAGTTGGCAGGCTGGGTCTCTATCTAAAAATACAAAATCTGTCTAGGTGGTAATGGTAAGGTCTTGGATTATTAGCCTCTTTCCTCCGCTGCCAAAAGTCATCATCAGTGCACGTTTTGTGCTCGCTTAAGCTTATGCACGTGCTGGTCACTGTAAATCTTGTGCATCCTTTAGACGACCACCACGTCTTCCAGACTTTTTGTGTGATCATCAAGTTAATTCTTGTAGCCCATGAGCCAATAACATCTACCCAGCAAGCAACGCACATGTCCTTCATTGTTATCTATTTGCGTCTTTCATGTACCACCATCATGACAACCATGCACATGGTTCACTCACTAGTGTCTTTGCATCTTGACTATATATTAAAAAGAGAAATTGGGACGCACGAGAGAAGTGGATATATATTTTACAACAACACAAATAAAAAGGGGAGGGAGGGAAGATGGTGGTGGTGGTGGTGATGATGATGATAGTAGATGATGTAGAATGATAGAGTAGTTGACTATATGAATTTGAATGTGCTACAACTACTACTACTAGAAACACATAAACTTGTTGCGTTTGCACATGAGCTTCTCCATGCGGTGTTCCAGGATGGTGCGTGCACGTTCTGCTTTATCCTTAAGCATGCGTTCATTTTCCAATTCCTCAAGCAGCCTGTTTCTCTCAACACTTTCTTCTTCATGCCAACCATTTTGTTGTGATCGTAAATGTTCAAGCTCGAGAATGTAGGTTTGCTTTTCTTGGTTGAGCGTATCAAGTTGTCGTTTGATGCTACGCACAGCATTCTCTGAACGTGATAGCTGTGTTTCGAGTTTGCCGATAACTTGTTGATGAGCACGCACGTCTTCGTCGGCCACATTCATTTTACGCTGTAAGGATCGAATGATCTTTTCATATTGCTCCGAAGTAAAATGGCCACCGTTGTTGAATAAATCACTGATGGCTGTTGATCCACTGGATGTTTGTCGTTGTAATAAAGGTGTCGAGACCGAACGAGCTGGTGATGGGACCGGTGGTAATGGGTTCGAAGGGGGAGCCGATGGCGGAGGTGATCCTGCATCCGTAGTGGTAGTAGTGGTGTTCGAGACACGTTGTTGCTGTTCTCGGATCGCTGTCATTGTTGATGGTGCCGATCCTCGTTTGGCGGTGTTTGTAGTTGTAGGCGAAACAAGCATGACTTCATCGGGTGATGATGATGAGGGTGAACTGGGTGATGATGATGGTTGGTCGAGAATCGATCTCAAAGATCCCGATTTCTTCAAGCTAAATAATGACCAGTCGCGTTGCAGCTTTTGATGTAATGTGTTGGGTGGTGAACGTGGCGTTTGTGGCGGCGAAGTACTAAAGAGGATGGAATCTCGATTGGTGGCAGTTGCGTTGTTGTTGATGATGTTGCTGCTACTTGTGCTGCTTGTGCTGCGGGGTATAATCATGGCTTGTTCTACCTCTTTTTCTAATCGCTCATTGGCTGCTGCAAGCTTCATCACCTTAAGTTCTAGATTCTTGCTCTCAAGGGTCAACTGGTTGTGCTGCAAAATCATTTGTGCCTCGAGCTCATTCACTTGCACCGACAATTGGGAATTCTCCTCCATCAACTGCATCAGCTTGCCAAGCAACTCCTCTTGTCCTTCCGCACTTGTAAGCTTACGCCGATAACGATCTTGTAGCTTGTCTAGACTGCTCAACTCAGATCCATTGTCAGGAGGCGTTACTGCCAAATCCTCTTCATCTTCTTCACTGCTGCTGCTGCTGCTGCTGCGACCACTACAGCTACTATGACTTCTCCTTGATGATGATGGCGATGCTGGAGGTGGTGGTAATGATGATTTGGAATCGATAGCAGTGATACTCTTCTTTTTGCTGGCAATGCTATCAGCTGACAACCGATGCTCATCAGGCAACCCACTATCTCGGTTCATGCGCGTGTCGATGGTTAATCTTCGACGTTGATTGAGCTGCTCTTGAAGTGATTGGATCAATTCAGATTTCTGTGTATGGCTTGCAACAGCTTCCTCCAAACGAGTTTGCATAGCTTGTAGTGACGTTTCCAAAGATGCAATAATATTCTCTTGATCCATATTAAGCTTCCTCGCCTTTTCAAGTTCATTCTCCAATTGTTGCTTTGCACACTCGAGTGCTTGAATCTTTTTGATAGCTGATTCACTTTGCTGTTCAAGTTCCAATATCCGTATTTCCAATCCATCTTCCTCCTCATCTTCTTCTTCTTTGACATCCTCTCGCCGATGTTGCACTTCCAGCTCCTTCACAGCAGCAAGTGTTTTGTCAGCTTCAATATTGTGATCATGAATACTATCTCCAAGACTAGCAGCCAATCGCTCGAGATCTTCACGTTCTGATCCAACGGTATGAACCTCATCAAGCACGTGTTGTACAACATGAGTGAATTGGGCAATTTGCTGATCACGGTCATCGAGTTGCTTTTGCAAGTTGGCGACAAGTTGTTCCAAGGCATCCACCTTTGATTCGAGTGCATGGATAATAACTTCTTGCTTGTGCTGAACAAGTTGCAATGTCTTTGCGTCACGATGAGCTGATTCAAGTTCGTCCAGACGTTGACGATGGACCTTACGTTGATGGTTCATAATATCGGCATGACGGGCATCACGCTGTTGCAACTCTTCACGTAAGCATGTTTCAAGCCGAGCTATTTCTTGTGCCTGAGTATCACGTATGCTAACAGCATCATCACGTAAAGCAGTGATTTCTTCAAGTTGACGTGCAAGGTCGTTGACTTTTTGTTGCCATTGGTGAGTCTCGTGCTGATAGCGCTCACTTTGGGCTTGCAGTTGCTGGTCAGCATGCTGCAGCTGCTCCTGGGTGGCTGTTAGCTGCAGCTGTAATGCATTCGCTTGTGATTCGTAACTCTTTGATGCTTGTTGCAGCTCAGCACGTTGATCCTCCATTTGTCGCAACTTGTCACCCAATTGTATTGATTCCACCTCGAACTTGGATGCATGTACCAAAGACTCATTCAATTGTTGCTCACACTTTGCAATCTTTGCTCGATATTCAGCCATCTTTCTCTCGTACTCATCAATCTGTTGCTTGAGTTGACCAAGAAGTGCCTCATCATCATCGTTCTTTAAATCATTCTCTCCTTGCTGATTCCGAAACATCTGCAATTGCTGCTCATATTCATGCACTTGTTGCTCGTACCATTGAGCCTTCTCATTTTGTTGTCGCGTTGCTTCTTCTTTGACATCACGTAGCTGTGCCTCACATGCTTCAACTTCTTTTGCACATTTTGCCTTTTGCTCCTCAGCCATTTGAAGCTGTTGCTCATAATCCCGTATCTTGTCTTCGTAACCACGTGCTTGGTCTTCGAGCTTTTGTGCTTGTTGTCGGCATGATTGCAATTGTTCTTCATAAACATGCACCTGCTGCTGTTGTTGTTCATGTTGCTTGAGCTTATCCACGGCGGATTGTCGCATGGCATCAAGTTCAGTGAGTCTTTGTTGTTGATCAGCCAATGCTTGATCTTGAGTAGCAAGTGCAGCACGTGCCATAGCAAGCTGTGATTCGAGTGATGATACGGACTTTTCATATTCTTCAATGACAGGCTCAACAAGGTGCTGGAAATCCAAATCCTTTTGCTTATGCAAAGCAACTTGCAAATCTCCAATCTGCTTACGTAAATCGGTCACCAATTGTTGCTGCTGCTCACTTGGCGTAGTAACAGGATCGACTTCAGGCACCGTGAGTTGTGTAGTAGCTGATGATGATAATGTGGGAGTCATGATAGTGCTGCTATCCGTTGACTTTGAAAATGTGGGTGTGCTATTGCTGCTGTTGGCTGTGGATGTCGATGATGATGACTTTAGGTTACGCACCTCACCCTTAAGCTTGCTAATGATGCCACGTAAGAACTCAGGGTTGTCATTGGTGAGCCATTCCTCAGCCTCATTGCGTTCAACACGATTCTTGATATTGCGAGCTCGATGTGCGTATTTGATGGTATTCACCGTTTCCACAAGGTTGATCTCGGCGGGACTGATACATGCAATCATCAATGTTGTAGCATTGCCACCCAATGAGTCTTGCAATAAACGTGTCAACTTTGAATCACGATAAGGGATATGGGCTGGACGTTTGTTGGTGGTACTATCAGCCAATGCCGAAATGACATTTCCCAAAGCTAACAATCCTGCATTGATATTGATGCCTTCTTTACGTCGATCCCCTTCAGCAGCTGTGCGTTTCAATCGTTCAGATCCAGCCAAATCGACAAAATGAAACTTTGAATGGCTAACGACCCATTTGCCATCATCATTGTTGCTATTGTTGGGGTGATGTTGTAATTCTTGAACCATCGCTTTGACATTGACGCCACTACTACGTCTTCCAAGCATCATGGATGATCGAGATGATGTAGGTGTGGGTGGTCTTTGTTGACTCGTTGACATTGTGGATACGGATGCTTTGGGAGTGACAATCCATTTTTCTTGACGCAATGTTACTGAAAAGATGGCATGTGATCGAGATGATTTGGCATTCATGTCGGTGGATCCAGTCGCACGATTTTGTGTTCCCATTTGCAGATACCTAAAAGGAGGTTGTAGCCAATCAGTTTGCTTGTTTTCTCCTTTTATGCAGCATGTCTCTATTTTACCTTAGTACATCCTCTGTACTGTCGACAGGTACCTCCTTAACACCGGTCCAATAAATTTGCCCTTTGGTATCTTCCCGAATTGTCACAGGTGGTCGTTCATCTGCAGGTGCTGGATTCAAAAGATCCACAAGGTCCTCATTGTAGATTTCCACAAAGGATACTTTGACACTAAATCTTCGATTGGCAGGTTGCTGTCGTTGTTGTTGTTGTTGCTGTTCAACCGAAAAAGAGGCACGTCGACTCAAGTTGCTAGGCGGAGTTAGCATGGATGAAGGCCGCATCAATCGACTTGGTGCTTTCAAATTGCTATTGACGGCACTGCTACTATGTCGTTTGCTGATTTTGGGTGTGGATGATGAGAGTGGTGATGATGCACGTGAGGTGGATGATGACGGCGATGTCGGATCGGAATACAATTCCTGGAATAGTGCAGCCATGGCACGCGGGATAATGCCTATAGATGCAGCAGCAGCAACAACAACAAATACAAATGTCAGTAAATAAGTGTTTCTTCATGCATAGGATGGAATTATACAACATACCTTGATGATCAGGATGTGGATGGTCACTAACTTCTGTACCCATAGTATATGTCTTTCCGGAAGATGTTTGACCCTGTGTAACCCATACGACAAGCATCGAGTTGGCACGTTGTTCTCTTTTTTCTCGCTCCCTCTCCTTATTCACTTCTCATGTCATCATCATGCATTACTTACATAGGCCAGGATGGTGACATTGTAACCTGTGATGAATAAAAAAGGAAGAGCATGAGATCACAAATAGATGCCAACTTGATGACCACCCCTCCCCCATATACACGTCTCTTGTGTGTCAAAGCTTACCGTCAATAAACCGGTCTACTAGTTTAGACGCAACGCTCGAAAACACTTGTTCTTGTGTGCTGTTGGTGCCAAACACATGGTCAAATGTGAATGCCTTTTGGTGTGGAACGACATTGACGGTGGTGTCGAAGGTTTTAATGACATCGGAATCGGTGGATTGAGAGAATCGAGGCTGCGCACGATCTTGAGATGTGAGTGGACGTACGCGTAGTGCTAATAATCAAGAGAAGAGAAGAGCAGAGAGAGAAGAGAGAGAGGGAAGAAATGATGAGTTGCTGGGATTCATGTTGTACATAATTTCATGCTGAATAAACTCACCCACTTGAACAGGTGTTGTTTCTTTTGCAGTGGACGAGGTTGTCGAAGGTGAAATCGAGCTATTGCTGCTACCGAATGCCATCGTTTCATGAAGTCGATAAATGGAACATGAAACAAAAGACAAAACGGTGGCAAAGAAAAGATAAAAAGAGAAGAAGAAAAGAGACTACAAATGAAAAAGAGAGAGAAACGGGATTGCTGGTGGGCTTTTTTCAAGGGGAAATAGGAGAGAAGGGGGCAAAGGACAAAAGGGTGGAAACTTTCTCTATCTTGTAAATATGCGCATGTGCCTCGTTTGATCTCTCGCTTTCTTGCCCGTGGCTCTTGTTCATGCCCCATATATGTGTCTTCCGCCTTACTACTAGCAAGCCTACACATACATTTCAAAGGGATTTGGGGGGTTTAAAGGGGAAAGAACGAGGAGCCTGTACGTAGAAGCAAGGAGAATCTTACTGTGTGTGTCGGTGCAATGCACACTTTCGTATCAACTGATGCACAAAACATATACGAACGGGGATCGACTCATTATCCGAAAATGTCAGTAGTAAAGGAGTTGGGGGAGGAGCGGGAAACATAAGGGAGCGCAGCAAGGAGAAAGTAACACATGAACTCTCTTTTTCATCATCATCATCATCACCACTAACATCATCATATGCCTACTCACAACTCTGCTGCTGCTGCTGCTGGTGATGTTTATCATCATAATAATTATCCGCCCTTTTCATTTGTTCACGTTTTTCGGATCATCACAATGGCCTTTTGGATCCAAATTACCCTCTTTATGCTCTAATGCCCTATTTTTATCGCTAGCTTGCAATAGATCGCTAACATTGTGTGCACCTGCTCCTTTCTATCCGTGAATATCATAAATATTATTAGAATAAAACTGTACAAAAGGGAACAAAATGCCCGATGCCAAAGGTACGGAACGAACGGGATCGTGTATGAGGAGGGCGGAACTAGTAGTGGTTGTTACGAGATGAAGGATAATGGTTGTAATGTTGCTATATGCAGTACCGGGAAGCATTGTTTTCATTTCCAAAACTGCCAAGGCTTCTTTTTCTCTTCAGAAGATGACTACATGTTTATGTAATTTGGTTAATACCATCATCGGAAAATCCATCCATTTACACTTACGCTCTTTTTGAAAATGTTGAGCAATCCACCAAGCTTCTTTTCTTTTTGTCGGTCCTTGGGGGGTGGTTTGACAGGCATTGTATCCGCATCTTTATGAGGTGTCTTTGGTGGTGGAGTCTCGGTCGTTGTGGTACCTGGTTTTTCCTTAGATGATGGTACAGCAGGTCCCTTTTGCTTGGCTGTCTCCGTTGATGTTACCGGTACATCCTTTTTCGTTTCATCAGGTTTAGGTGGTTGTTGCTGCTTTGATGGGACTTCCTTATCTTCATCCCGTTTCTTTGTCTCCTCCTCGGCTACTGCCTTTTTGGTATCGATACCAGTAGTATCCTTGGGAGGTGTTTCTTTAGGTGGTGGTGATGCAACAGCAGCAGCAGCAGCAGCAGGTTCTTTGGCAATGGGTTGTTGTTGTTGCTGTTCTTGCTTTTTCGCACCCAAGGATGATGGTGCAGATGTTCTCTTTTCCTGAGTAGTGGATGGCTGTTGATTTGCTTGTTGTTGCGGCTTTGGTGCACTATCATCAGTGGCAGCTGCAGTATCTTTGGCAGCCAATTGGGGCTCATAAGCTTTAGGTGGTGGCTCTTGCTTATTATTTTGTTCCGTTGTCGTTGTCGTTGTCGTTGTTGCTGGTGCAGCAGATGATGGCTTTGCCTTTTCCTCTTTGATGTCAGCATGTTTACCAGTGGCTACAGGTGAACCAGTGGACATTTTTGGTGGCTCTTGCTTCAACTTTTCAGTCGTCTCACATGGCTCATGTGTCCCATCATCCTTCTTTTTGACAGGTGCAGGTGCTACTTCTATAGGTGCTGGTTTTTCAGGTTCTTGTTTTTCTTCTTTAGGTGCTGCTTTTGGTTCCACCTTTGTTTCCTTTTCTTGTTGTTCAATAGATGTACGTGGAGTCGTCGTAGGTTTTGCTGTTGTTGTAGCAGCTGCTGTTGCTGGTGTTGTGCCTTCCGTTTTGGCAGCGGCTCCACCACCACCAGCAGCGGCTTTCTTTGCAGCTTTCTTTTGTGCCTTTTTCTCCTCTTTTTGCTTTTGTCGTCTTTCAGCTCGTGATGCCATGATAAAGGAATTGATAAAATTATCCAAGGGAAAAGAAGAAAGTGTGCGGTGCTAGTCAAGAATGTTGGTGGTTGTAGTGAGCCCATCGGCGATTTGGCTGGAATTGTCCGAGACATGCTTCGTCATGGGTTATATGAGCCCAAGCGAGTTGTATTGCGTGCCAATGCCTTCCTGTAAAGAGCGAGCATTCTCACCAATGCGATAATGATATTACCTACTACTTGGATGGTTGAGGTTGACAGCACCTGTGCTACACACAACAACATTCTCCACCCCCACAATCGTATCATCACGCGGCATAAACAAACTCAATGCTGTACTGTATCCACCACGCCAAAAATCAGGGAGTAACTCGCATAAGCGTGGACCTTGTATTTCATTCAATGGAAGGAGCATGATGAGTGTATGCTAGAGCGGTGCCACCATATAGTAGTATTCTCCTCTTTTTTGGGCCCAATGTATACATACTCGGAGTGTTTCCATCACATCGTCATTATGCAGAAAACACAAATGCCAATATACAACATGCTTTGGGCTTTTTTGCTCTAGATTTATGAAAACAGGGATAACACCATCATAAACAATCACAACAGGCATTGTCGATCGTCATCATGTTGGCTATGTTGTTGTCGTGATAAACGCATGGTTCAATCGCGTTGCCACATATGGCTGAATTGTTGGCAAAAGATATGCATGTACACGTAGTATGGCAATCGTGCGTGTGTGCAAGTGGTGGTCGGCACAAAACAAAGATGCAAACGCACACACGTACATACACACCATTATTGGGAAGTCTTTTGCCTCATTGTTCTCTCTCATACACGCACTCTCTCATTCTTATCGTTCTTTTTACATATCACCCTCCCCCCCTTGATATCATCCCTTTCTTTCCAACACGGATGCACCATATGCTTTTGTAAAGAAACTCATTAATGCACCTCATCTCGTGATCTTGCCGCATTGGCTGTTGTTGCTTGGTGATGTGTGTGTGGCTGTTGCTATGGTGATGATGATGATGATGATGATGATGCATCCCAGGTTTTGTTTACAATGAATCACCATATCCCTTCCATCACCCTCCTCTTTTTTCTCCTCCTTTCATTTCCCCTCTCATTTTACGCCATTCATCCATCCTCACTCATTGTATGCGTGCGTGTATTTGAAATACGTTGTATGTATTAATACCAAAGGGGGACTAAAGGATATGATAATTATTGCTGTTGTTCACCACCGTTACTACTACTACTATAGCACACCATTATAGACCGGTGACGAGATACATCATGGACAACGCAGCCACGCCCAAAAGAAGCATCACGTTGGGAGCATTGAGTGTAGCAGCATTGTAATGGAGCAAGACAGGGCGAGAACGTAATCGGAGATCGTCAAAGAAGCTTGTTTCTGAAACGGCCGTAACGGTGAGGTAGATCAGTTGTGGCGATTCCTCCACCTCGGTGCCATTGTCGAAGGTTCGCTTAACGGTGAGGCCACCAGGCACGGTCCAGTCGTACGAAGCTGTATACGTAAAGTTGAGCTGCACGCCCGTAGAGTTTCCACCATCCACAGCATGGTCCGTTGTAACGTTTTGGATCAATTGTGTTGCTGAAGCATCTTGCCATAAAGCGAGATCCACCGTGTAATTACCGGTTCCTACGTTGCTGTATTCATATTCAATGGTGATGTGGTCTCCAGGTGTTACGGTTGCGTTGTATTCAGGTGTCTTAATATCAGGGCCAACTTGAGCGGATACAAATCCAATAAGCAGTAGTGATAAGAGGGCGGTGGTGATAACAAAGGATGAACGAGAGGACATGGGTGATAATGTGTGTGGTAAAAGGAGAGGAAAAAGATTAAGTGGGGGTGTGATTCTGTGCACAAACCGCTTGTATGGCTTCGTTGTACAAAGGATAATTATTTGGCGGAGAAGAAGAGCATCGACCATCAAATCATTCACTCAACTCTCACACGCCTTGGGAAAACCATGTGTCGTTGGAATTAAACTCACATTGCCATGGATACGTGGGTCCTTCTTGAGAAACTTTGGCCAATGCTCGGAGCATGATGCATGTCATTAAGCGGCATAATGATCCTTCTCTTACAACACACATCTTCCCCGCATCAATATTTCTGGACATCAAAGAAAGCAGCCCTGATCGTCTCCTCCGCTTTCCATCCCGCCAAAATAAGAAAAGGGTAGGCGGATTCTAATTTCACGCACGAGGATCCATATCCACAAGAGATTTAGTTCCATTCAACATGTATCACAATCATCGGCTTGGTATCTATCATTAATAGCAGCATCTCATTCACGCCACAAGACAGCTAAATTAATACTTGTCAACAGCTCTTGGAAAGTGTGCCAATGCTCTTGATACAACTGCTGCTTTTCCATTCCTTGTATCACTGCTTTGTATTCCCGTACCACCTCCCGTTTTGAATAATAAAGAGCTCCATAACGATATGTCCATAATAGCCACACTACATGTCTGCTCATACTGCTGCATCGAGATGGATCCTTATCCTATTAAGACATAAGGAAAGCTGCTAATCAAACCTACACTGCTACAGCATTTACGTGCTTGCATCATTATACCCAGCGCTTATGAATGTGCTGTGATGCAACATTTACTTGGGCCGCTTCTATGTTGTTAATAACACCACAGCACAAGGAGATCCTAAACATGTTGCAGCTGATAGTCTTAAAAACATGATTCTGGAGCCTTAGAATGACTTCTTGGATCAACCAATTTTCGTCCAATCAGCTCCTTATTAGGTGTATACGTATAGCCTGCTCAAAGGTTGCATCGCGTGGTCTTTTCATTGATGTACACCCTTCTTTATTCATGGCAGGATTGAGATTTGCAAGGTGGTGATGCCACCGAAACTTACCACTGCAAGAAAGCGGTGATTTAAGATATGTATACGTGATCCGCCAGCCATCCGAAAAATGGCTCAATAGATAGTCATAGTCTAGGTTGCATTAAGAAGGATCGAATTGCGTGTGCTATTGTTACGCGAGATGCAAGCTACTTCAGCCATAAACCAAAGAAATTCATCGATCAATAGAGATTATCGATGGATGATCGGTTGATGCATATCAAATTTGATAGACAATCAGCTTATCGTATGCTGTATGTGAGCCCAATTTTTAGAGACCCCATACATGTTTCACGCTAAATTGGCCCACGTTGTTAGCCTCGTGCATTTACAGCTTCAAATCAAAAGTTCAAGGACAATAGGTGTCATTGCTATTGTTCATACAAGATGAGCATGAAACAAAAATTTAACCATATATGGTGTTTTGGTAGCAACAATACAGTAACAAAGGATGCCATCCTTAAATGATCGTCAAGTGGGGTGGATTTGTGTTACATGTGCGCGTTTGTTTATTGTTACACGACCGTAGGTGGACCTCGGCTACATTTGTTCAAGATGAGGAACGTGGACCATAATCATTAAACTGCTGCGTATGATGATACTACAACTATTGGGTAGGTGGTGGAAGAACTACACGCTCAACGTGATAGGTGTCGTTTGATTCGACATGCTCAATGTCGTGCTTTTCGCCTTTATCCTTCTTGATGATTTCGCCTGTTTCTTCGTCAATGTATCCCTTTGCGTTTTCAAGTGCCAAGTCGCCTGCCTGCCATTCACCCGCTTCGGCTTTTCTTATAGCAGAGCGTTTTTCATCGTAATAAAAGTATACCAAGAACCCAATGACAACGAGCCAATAGAGACAATAGGAGATGATGGTGCCATAGGTGGCGGTATTGTTCCAACCAAGCACGGAATTGAAAATTTGATATCCACCAGTGGAAGGTAGGTTCTTTTCTGGATCACCCCAAGATACGTGCCATACAGCGGTGGTCACTTTGTATCCAATAACATCACCGCCTTCCTCAGCAGCTTCACCACCAATGACTTTGTTCCACTCATATTGCTCGATAAAACCAACACCACGAGATAGGAGTCCTGCAGCTACCAGGTATAGGATGATGGTCGACACAATAAAGAACCAACGAAGGCGTACAAGATTGCCACCACGATAGATAATGTAGCCCACGAGACACCCACAAAGGAAGCCCATCAACACAGGGATAGGGATTGACTTGGCTTGTGCGTTCAATGAAATCTATTACACATGTGACCAACAACAAAGTTAGCTCAATGCATACATCACAAATATAAGCTTTGCACTCACACCACCAATGAAAACAACAGCTTCCAAGCCTTCACGAAGGACTGTAATAAAGGGTAGCACAAAGAACGAGTAGCGTTGAAGTTTGGTGGATGTGCCTTCGTTGGCTTCTCGCTTGGATTCAATGACTTTGGCTAACTTGACCTTCCATTCTTCTTGCATATGCTCGGTCTTTAACATGGCAAGACCCATCATCGTGATCAAAATTGTAGCAAGGATACAAAATAGAGCTTCCCAGATATACTCGGTCTCACCCCAAAGGTTGTTTAGCAATGTATAAAACACTGCAATGAATGCGCCACCAATACAAAGGCAAATGGCTAGTCCTATGGCTGTACCCCACCATACTTGTTTGCGTAGGCGCTTGTACACCAAAGTCGATGGATCAAAGATGCGTGACAAAAATGACAATAGAACAGACACAATGATAGCTGCTTCGGTCACTTCACGAAAAATGATGAAGAAGATAGGAACATAAAAGAGATCTTGAGACATGATGCGTGTGTGTGAGAGAGAGAGAGAGAGAGATGAAAAGGGGTAAAAAGAAGGAAAAAGGACAACACAGGATGAGTGAATATCGGCTACCGTGGGTGTGCAGTTTTTGTTGATGCAAGAAAGATGGTTATCAGATCAAATGTTTCGATTCATCTACCCCTTGATATGATCCCACTTAACACCACACGGCATAAAAATTAAATGAGGAGCCTGCATTGTCTCGTCTTTCTTTCCTCCATCAAGTATTCTTTTTCACACGTTGCCTTGTGATGGGATTATTGTTCGACTTCTCTACGATGCTGCTAGTGACCAACATTATCATCGGTGGCATCTTTGTGCTGGTCACAAATGCTGCTCTCGTTGAGCTCAACTGGAACATCACATACACGACCGCAAATCCAGATGGGTTATATGAACGACGAGTTATTGGAGTGAATGGACAATGGCCGTAAGCTTTGACGATGACTCTAGTGATATCGTTGTACCAATAACTAACGTTTTAAAAGACCACCTCCTATCGATGTTACGATCAACGACACTCTCAAGATCAATGTACACAATGCACTGGACAAGCCTACAGCTTTGCATGCACATGGGATGTTCCAAAATGGGACAGCGTACATGGATGGTCCAACTATGGTTACTCAGTGGTAAGATTTCTTATCTTTGGTCATTACAAGGTTGCTGATTGGCTTTTTTCTTTAGCCCCATCCCTCCCGGATATGACTTTACCTATGAGTTTAACATTACACAGTATGGCACCTTTTGGATCCATAGTCATTTCATGGTATGTTAAGGATGACATCTTTCAATCAGCATCATGCCTTGATTCTGATCCATGTGCTTGTATATCAACAAGGGACAATACCTTGATGGAATGAGGTCGCCGATGATTTTGCATAACACCATGGAAGCATACCAATACGATCAAGAAATGACCATTACTCTCTCTGGTAAAGAAGCATCATGGCAAAAGCGATGATAGTAGACTGATTCTTATCAATGATTCAAGATTGGTACCATCAACAAAATGATGATCTACTTTCAAGTTTCCTGAGTGTGTACAACCCAACCGGAGCTGAACGTATGCATGATTTCTTTATTCTCCCCACCTCCCTTCTTCTTGGAATTAAGCTCATAACTCTTTCTCTCCTACAGCGACTCCTGATTCAGGTCTCATTAACGACAATGCCAATTCCACATTCGACTTCGTCCCTGGAAAGACTTACCGTCTGCGGCTGATCAACATGTCCGGCTTCTCCGAATTCTTCTTCTCGATCGATGGCCACAACATGGACGTCATAGAGGTCGATGGGGTACGTTGCTTTAGTGGTTATCAGAGACCTGTTGTTGCTAATAGTGTGGATGATAGATTGACGTACAACGCTCGACTGTGAATAGCGTAACGTTAACGGCTGCTCAACGCGTCTCTGTTTTGGTGACAGCAAAGAACGACACCAGTCTCAACTACAACATGCATGCAGACATGAACACGGATATGTTTGATAAAGTACCACCTGAACTACAGCCAAGTAAGTCATTCATTGTAAACCTTACAATCACTTCTAATACTAAGATGGCTCATGCAACTAGACATCACTGCTCCAATTTACTATGATCGCTCCCACAACAAATTTGCTCCGATCCAAGACCTTGGCATGTCAGGCACCTTTGATGATACTACACTCAAGCCTCTTCAAGCAGAGGATGCTGTCAATCCTGATCAAGAGTTAACATTGTCAATCAAGTTTGAGGTGACTACAGATGGTATCAATCGAGGGATGTTTGGCGATCTTCCATTCCTTTTACCCAAGGTGCCATCCATCAATACATTGCTCTCCCAAGGCAACTACTCATCCGATCCTGCTGTTTATGGTCCTCAAGGTGTAGCCACAGTATTCAACCATCTCAACATGGTGCAAGTTATTCTCAACAATGAAGACCAAAATGATCATCCTTGTAAGCAACTCAATGATGGGGTGTTGTGGTTAGCATGATGGTATTAATCAACATTCATTTCCAAGTCCATTTGCATGGCAACGTTTTTCAGGTGGTTGGAAGAGGAAATGGAACGTATGACAGCTCGATTCAATTGAATACGACCAATCCAATGCGACGTGATACCATCTCAGTGCCTGGCCAAGGTTTTACCGTAATCCGATTCCGAGCTGATAATCCTGGTGCTTGGGTAGGGTTTTTTCATGATAGAATACATCTTTTAAGGAAGATACTCATCATGTATACTTTCATAGTTCTTCCATTGTCATATTGAATGGCATCTTGAGTCGGGATTAGCCGCACTATTTATTGTTGCACCGGATGTAGCCCAACAACGCATGAGCTTACCTCAATCCATGAAGGATCTATGTCAAGCGAGCGGGATCCCAGCAACCGGTAATGCAGCTGGCAACGAGGGACTCGACCTTTCTGGTGCACCAAGTGGAATTACCCTTATCCCAGATGAATTTACACCTCGTGGTATTGGTGCTATGGCGGGTTGCATCATTGCTGCGCTTTTGGGTATTGGTACCATCATCTGGTTTGCACACGCTGATCCACAAAAAGAAGCACGTCTCATTGCAGAGCGCATGAGGAGTATCCCACAATAACGGTTCACGTATCTTATATTGCTTTCACCAGTATACTTGATGTATTGTCTTCTTCTATTATTACTTGTAGCACCCCCTATCTCTTGCATCTGTATTTTTTTTATCCCCTTCCCTTTATCAACACTATCAACCGAAATAAGAATGTACGGGCTTGTTCAGCTTTTTAATCCAAAGATCAACAGATGCATCATCGTCGTGGGAAGTTCCATAGGTTTGGTTATAAAGACATGTGAGAGATGGAACCTTAGATGGGACATGCATGATGCTTACAGCGTACAAAACTGCTACAGCATGATTGATGATAATGAGTTTATCTTTCTCAAATGAGATCAGGATCATTACACTAATTTACATGGTCCTGGGCACCTTGATCTCAGCTTTTGACAAGCACACTTGGCTGTTGTAGAAGGTCGTGATGGAAGATAGCACACTTTCAAATGCTTTGATAGATGGGGCGAGAGGGTTTTGCCGGCTGACCGGAAAAATGCTATAATGCCGCTTACGTTGATTCGCCACGGAGCACGCCATCGATGATCGTCTTTTGCAACATCAATCCTCTGCATAAACTTTAATTTTTCAAAAGGACCAAATGAACTCTTGGAACCAACTCGGTCAAATAGGTACACCCATGTGGTACTTTTGGATTATCTGATCGTTGCAATTACTACACAAACTTAGCTTATCCGAAGATATCTTCATTCTTATTGGTGGGCCGAATCAGCTCAAGGTATCATGGATCCTTTCCACTGTTTATCAATCAAGAACATGTCAAACAATGAATGAAACATCAAGCTCGATTCATTGTCTTGAGTCATATAATGACAACATTCGGCCGAAAAGACAACCAACGTGCCATCAAGGCTCACATGAAACAAGGTTTTGTGTCGTCGTGCGGACCCAGGCCATCTACTACTATCTTAGCACGTGTATAACATGTAGCGTAATCAACATGTCATTGCATATCCTTGCGATTAAAATCATGAATCAACGTACATGAAAAGCATGTCATTGTAGTATCCATGGTGGATGGTGAGATTGTTGTGGAGATAAGGATCCCTCGCTGGTTACATGAATCCATGTATGACAAGAAACTTATGCCGGTACATCAATCTGGGGAAATACTAGACCGCGCGCACACACGACATTTAAAAGCGACATTCCGTATTATATAAAAACCAATCCACCCACGAAATACAGGTTTCTTTCTTGATCCTTTCACACACATCATGACTAACAACGAAGAACACCAACTCCACTTTGACACCCTTCAGTTGCACGCTGGCCAAGAGGTGGATAAGACCACCAATGCTCGTGCTGTTCCTATCTATGCCACTAGTTCCTACACCTTCAACAGCACTGATCATGGTGCCAACCTTTTTGCCCTCAAGGAATCTGGTAACATTTACTCGAGGTACCTTTATTATAATTATTTTATCTTGTATCTATGACCATTACTTATACTCTCTTTCTACTAGAATCATGAACCCAACCAATGATGTGGTGGAGAAGCGTATTGCTGCTTTGGAAAAGGGTGCCGCTGCCACTGTACTTTCATCGGGCCAAGCAGCTCAATTCTTGACATTGACCACTATTTGCCGTGCTGGTGACAATATCGTCTCGAGTGCCAGTTTGTATGGTGGTACTTATAACCAACTCAAGGTGGTATTCCCTCGTCTTGGTATCAAGGTCAAATTTGTGCAAAGCAACGACCCTGAGGAATTCAAAAAGTTGATTGATGAAAACACTCGTGCTGTGTATGTGGAGAGCATTGGTAACCCTGCTTTTGTTGTCCCCGACTTTGAAGCTTTGGCCAAGGTTGCTCATGATGCTGGTATCCCTCTCGTTGTTGACAAGTAAGTTCCCGCCCCCACATACTCTATCCCATATTGGGTTCACCTTTCTCGTGTCTAACAATCACTTTTCCTTTAGTACCTTTGGTGCAGGTGGTTACCTTGTGAAGCCCATCGAGCATGGTGCTGACATTGTTGTTCATTCGGCTACAAAGTGGATTGGAGGGTAAGTTGGTAGAAAGAATGACGAGAAGGGACAGTGTTGCTCATGTTGACATGCGTAGTCATGGCACCACCATTGCTGGTGTGGTGATTGATTCCGGCAAGTTCCCTTGGAACAACGGCAAATTCCCTGAGTTCACTGATCCATCGCCTGGATACCACGGCATGAAGTTCTGGGATACCTTTGGTCCACTCTCCTTCACCTTCAGATTGAAGACTGAATCCTTGCGTGATATTGGTGCTTGCCTTAATCCTTTCGGCTCCTTCTTGATTTTGCAAGGTCTTGAGACTCTTTCGCTTCGTGTCCAACGTACCGTTGATAACGCATTGGAGCTTGCTCGTTGGTTGCAAAACCATCCCAACGTCAATTGGGTTAACTACCTTGGCCTCGAGGACCATCCATCACATCAAACTGCCCAAAAGTATCTTCGTCATGGTTTCGGTGGTGTGTTGACCTTTGGTGCCAAGGGATCTCTCAAGGCTTTCATTGAAAATGTCAAGCTTGCTTCTCACTTGGCAAACGTTGGTGATGCCAAAACATTAGTGATTGCCCCTGCTCTTACCACCCATCAACAATTGTCGGATGAAGAACAAGAAGCTTCAGGTGTCACTAAGGATATGATCCGTGTCTCGGTTGGCATTGAGTAAGTGGAAATTCATTTACTATGATGGGGATAGATATTGATGATGTTCTTTGTTACATAGGCATATTGATGACATCAAGTGGGACTTTGATCAAGCTCTCAAGATTGCAGCAAGCACCAAGTCCGCTTAAATTTAGTAATAGAAAGTGATTCTTTGTACAAGTATACCACAGCGTGTAATATAATAACAACCTCCCTAAGTCAACATATTTGATGTATTATTTCGCTTGTGCATGATGAGATAAGACACGCTTTATTGTCAAAGCAATCGGGTGATTGATTGTGAGCAGGGTCCCTCCCTACATGGAAAGGATACTTTATGCCACCGCATACAGCCACTTGACACGCACGCCACATGTCCCTTTTCGGAAAAGAGGGATAAAAAATCCCACGTCAACAGTAGTTGAAACACCCTTCCTTCTTTCTCACTTTAACTATATCAATGGGCGACGACGAACACGAGTACCACTTTGACACGCTTCAGCTGCATGCTGGACAACAAGTGGATAGTGCAACCAATGCTCGTGCCGTGCCTATTTATGCCACCACCTCTTTCACCTTCAACACTATCGATCACGCTCTTGCAATATTTGCCAACGATGTGCATGGCTTTGCTTATTCAAGGTACCAAGAAAAGGAGCGAGCGATATAATGAACATACGCTTAACAATGAATTTCAAGATTAAGCAATCCAACCAATGAAGTGGCCGAAAAACGTATTGCTGCACTGGAAAAAGGGATTGCTGCAACGTTGGTATCAAGTGGTCAAGCAGCTCAATTTCTCGTTTTGGCTACCCTATGCAATTCTGGTGACAATGTGGTATCGAGCTCCAGCCTTTATGGTGGCACCTACAATCAGCTCAAGGTGTTGTTTCCTCGCCTTGGTATCCATACACACTTTGTCAATAGCGCCGATCCAGAGGAGTTCAAACAAAAGGTGGATGACAGGACACGGGCAATATACGTCGAGAGCATTGGTAATCCTGCTTTTGTGGTACCTGACTTTGAAGCACTTGCCAAGGTTGCCCATGATGCAGGCATTCCATTGATCGTTGATAAGTAAGAAATGCGATAGGGTTGATGATGATTACGTTGTCACCTACATACAGTATTCGACTTTTGATAATGACCGATTTACTCTATTATAGCACCTTTGGTGCTGGTGGGTATCTTGTCAAGCCTATTGAACATGGTGCCGATATTGTCGTCCACTCGGCAACCAAATGGATTGGAGGGTAACCACGTGAGGGATGTCATTGTATGTGATAAAGATAGGTACTCACTATGTATACTTTCTTCTTCTTAGCCATGGAACAACGATTGCTGGTGTCATTGTTGACTCTGGTAAATTCCCTTGGAACAATGGCCGCTTTCCACGCTTTACTGATCCATCACCCGGATACCATGGTTTGCGATTTTGGGAAAAATTTGGTCCTCTTTCATTTACTTGCTTAATGAGGAGTGAATACCTTCGTGATGTGGGTGCATGCCTTAACCCTTTTGGAGCGTTTCTTCTTCTCAATGGCCTCGAGACTCTTTCACTTCGAGTGCAACGTACCGTTGATAGTGCATTGGAGCTTGCTCGTTGGTTGCAAAACCATCCCAACGTCAATTGGGTTAACTACCTTGGCCTTGAAGACCATCCATCACATCAAACTGCCCAAAAGTATCTTCGTCATGGTTTCGGTGGTGTGTTGACCTTTGGTGCCAAGGGATCTCTCAAGGCTTTCATTGAAAATGTGAAACTTGCTTCTCACTTGGCAAACGTCGGTGATGCCAAAACATTGGTGATTGCCCCTTCTCTTACCACCCATCAACAATTATCGGATGAAGAACAAGAAGCAGGTGGTGTAACCAAAGACATGATCCGTGTGTCAGTCGGCATTGAGTATGTGGAGCGGAATGAGAAATCGTTGACATTAGGATCGACATTGATTGTGGCTCTTTATTAGGTATATCGGTGATATCAAATGGGACTTTGATCAAGCTCTTAAGATTGCGAGCCAGCATACGTAGTATATAGAATGATCACTACTACTCTAATTGATTCCCTTACAATGAAAGACGTGAAGCTACATCTTTATAAATTATTGTGTGAATAACAGCCCCATGTTGCTCGCTTCACGCGTAGACTAGTGACTTCTCGTTGAATGGTTTAACACTGCCGCTTATGTAGTAACGCTCTTACGACAAGCCTGCACATTTACGCAACCACGTTGTGGTTCCATGGTATTCATCTTTAGGGAACCTGTGGTTCTTTGCTTTATCCATATGTACAATGAGCATTCAACTTAAGAAAAATCTGCTTGATTTCTAGTTCTAAACTGCCAGCAGTAATAACCCCTTCCTCCCATTCACCTTTGTTGCCCAACCCAATGCATACGAACGATTGTCCTGCTCCAGCCCAGCATGCCCATCATTAACTTACATGACTCGTGAGGATTTGACCAAGTTACGCTCAAACAAAGAAGTAGCATTCAACTTCAGTTCAACTCACTTAAATTCACAGCTCTTCCCATTCTCAACTTCTTCCCTCTTGCTCCCATTCTCAACTGTTGCCCCATTCAACTACAACTACTGTACCACCTGCGAACGATTGTCCTGCTTCAACCCATCATGTCAATCCTACAATTGTCTCGATCCGATTGTCTTTGACCGAATGGCATGTGCATGGCGTGTACACAGCGTTTTTGTCACTCTTCTACAACACACGACTTCCTTGACACAACACACGGTCTTGCCACAACCAATCGTAACAGCATTCATTGCAGCAGTTGCTATTAGCGAGGTCTTTACTCCATTGTCTCAAACAACGTTCACAACCTTGTCACTCTACTGCAACACGAGCTTTTGCTCTCTCCTCTGCTACGAGAAAACGTAACAGCATTCATCCAGCAGTTGCCATTAGCAATGCGTTTGCTCCGTTGTCTTAAACAGTGTTCTTTACTTGCAGCAACTTTTCTTTCAGCCTTTTCACGTGGACAGCAGATAGCCATTGTATAGAAGCAGCTTTATTTACGTGTTGGCAACTTACCTTAATACAAACGAATGTCTATGGATATGGATCCGAATATTGCTTTGATACATGGGATGGAAGGAATTGGATATACACAACGTGGGGAAAAAGGGCCTTTGTTCTTATGTATTCATTGTCGATTGACCTTGATGCTATTATCCTTGACGATTGGTGCATTGAGTTATAGAGCTTTACACGGCGCTATTCCATGGTAGCTGCTATCATCCTTTGTGCAACATGTCAACCGTGTACGACTGTCACCATCCAACCACTGCATATTTTGACACGCCATTGATACAATCCGCACCACACGCTCATCCGTTCATCTTTGTAAAATGCACGGCAAATGATAGTATTACTCAAATCGATGTGTCTTCTCCATTAGAGCAATTCATTGTACATCTCAGTTTAGTGTCCATTCTTTCTCTTCTGAATGATGTTGGATTAAAGGATTACTTTAGCAAATACACGACATTACGTTGGCTAAGTTTCAGTGTGTAAGATGATTACTTCTTCCTGAGTTGGATCTCACCGTGTATTGTACTATGGGAGACGTATGTTATGGCAGATGCAGGATTGTAAAAGTATGTCCGCTTACGCATAACGCTGTGATAAAGAAGAAAGCGAGGAAGGTACATCTGATTGATTCATTGTGACCCAAACAAAGGCTATATTCAGTAATGCGTAACTCACTTCCCCTGTTTTGTGATTGGATCTATAATGCATGTTCTTTTCTTGTGATTTAGATACGATAGTTTTCTTTATTATTAATATACGGTGGGAGAATAGAGCGAGGGAGGGAATGGATGAAGTAAACGATACGCCCTTATCCATTACGACTAAGATGTTCCTTTCGTTCGCTGATCATCTCGATATCTTCCAGCTCTCCACTCATTTGTCGGTATTCTTGCAATATGTGTGCCTTTTCTTCCGTCCAATAGATGAACGCTCTTCGATGTATCAATGCCCACACATAAGGTACGAAAAACTCCCGTGAATCTTGCTCTTCTTCATATTGGAACTTCAGGTCCGGCATCGTCTTTCAAAATAATGTCAGCCTTCACTACACCAGGCTCGTTTGTATGTTTCCTTTTACTTACGTCAAGGCTTTTTGATGTCCAAGTTCGAGCAGCCTGATCAATCAAATCCAAAATCTCATTTGTTGATGGAGCCTTTAGGTTGGCCTCAGATACACGTGCATGAAAATGATCCACAGTGTTCTCGATATTCCGTATCAGCTCTGAAAGGCGGGCATGGTTTCGCAAAGGAGCAAAAATGTCGCGTTTGAGAAGCAGGGCGTATACAAGTTGGGTATTATTCTTGAGTCGGTGGGTGAGGATGGAGTTGATAATCTCAAGCACAAGCGAAAGCATGTCTTCGTACACAGTAATATCTTGCATTGAAACAGCCTGATAGCGTAAGGGTAAGTCAATAACTTTTACGAGCAATATCTTCCATTCACTAAACCTACCTCTTGATGCGCAAGCTTTGTTGTTAGCTTTTGCTGCCTCCGAGATATCAGCTCAAACATACTGGAAGAGCTTTAATGAGTATCGTGGCTGAAAAAGGATCCCAATAGAACGTACCTGATTATCCGCTGTGCGACATAAGCATGCATATCCAACACCGTGCTCGACATGTTGGCCAGGATGGCTAAGCAATTTGTATGAAAGTATATGTCCTAAAGCAAAAAAGAATGAGTGTCACCCATAGATCACTGGAACGAATCGAGACACTACCTTTTGATGAGACAAGTTGAATTGCAAAGTACGGATCAACACCAGCATTACAAGTCCTCCCAAGGATATCGATTTCAATAATGGCCTTTCGGTGAACCATGTCAAATTGCCCACGTTCTATAAGTATGGGTAAAAGATTAGTAACAATCATGCCTGATTTCCATTGCAATACTCACGATCTTTTGGATAGTCTCGTTGTTCACATCGTCTTGGCTGAGAATCAGCATGATCGTCAATAAGATGTACACCTGCGAATAATTGGTCTTCCCCTCCACGGATTCATAGATGATCTTCAACATGGGTATGTACTGCATGATGCCACTTAGTATCCAACAGCATCATCCTATGCCCTCCTTCCATTATCTTACCATTGTCTCTGGATCCGTCCTTGATAGCACATATACCCGGAATGAGTCATTTTCCACCAACATGACGTATAATAAAAGCATTCGTTCCTCAACACCCAGCGAGCTTACATCCATATTATAAATGAGTAAGATGGATCAAGTAGGGATCATGAATCAACTCACTTGCAAAATAAAGAGAAAAGGTCCTTGAAAGAAATGAGATGAAATTTCTTGTCTTGGCCATCGACATCGGTTGCAAGAACTAGCAGTAGTCGATACGTGAATACCATTGAACTTAGTCATCACAGCGCAACTAACCATTATGATCCCGAAGATTAGCGAATACGGTTCTATATGGCGATGTCGGTGCAGATGAATCATCTCGGGACGTTTTCAGCTGAGTCGTCAATAGAAGGAGGAGTAGCAAACTTCGCTCGTTCATGGGCATTGGATCCACATCGGACGCTGAACCTGATCGTGAAGAAAATAGATAGCTATAGGCATTGTACACCACGCCTTCACATACACATGTCAGCCATTGAAGATATACAAAACGGGAGGGAGAAGAATATACGCACTTGATGATAATGCAGGAGGTGGTTTTTGTGTGATAAAGTTCTCAAGTAGCTTTGCAACAACAGCATCTGCACGATCTCTAGGTATATGTAAATGAGTCACCAGCAATGATCATCCCCTCCTCCACTTTCAGCACATTACCCAAACTTGTCCAGTAATAGATCCAAAAAGTAATTTCCTTCATTCACATGAGAGCGATGTAATTGGGTGGAGAAAAAGACAATGAGCGTGTTGAGGATCTCGGTATAGAATTCGTAGGCGGAATAATTTTCACTAAATGAACATGAAGATGGTGAGTTCAACCTTCATCTTGATTTCAGGCATGCTCAACATACTATGGATCCAGGTTAATCAGGGCTGTTGTAAGTGCGTCCAACAATTGCTCGCCACGTGGTCGATGATCCGATTTGACTTGGTCGCTGATTGTAAGCTTTTTCAAATCGAGCTGAAAGGTGTTTTCTTGAGGAACGTCCACATTATCTATACAAGGCCATCGACTTAGCTCCCTATCACATAGAATGAAATCCTTTCTTTACCTTCGAACTGCTTCATGATTTCCTCATTGGTCAAGTTGCCAGCGAAATGCTTGGTGAAAACACGGGTCAAGAACAATGCATTGTAAGCCTCGGTTGGGATGGTCCTAAGGTATGTCTATTAGCACTAAAACCACCTTCACCTACCCTCTGTATCATACTTACTCAGGATTGGTTGATTGGATATGCTTCAGTTGGCTGAGTAGATGAAGAACAAGCTTGTTGAAGTTTCGTGTCCTGACATTATTCGCAGCTATAGGATGATGATGATGCATGATGATAAGTCATTGACAAGAAATTAACAAGTCCAATCACACATGCACACCCACATCATACCCAGGTCGATGGATAAGCTTACTGTAGCCATTTCCAAATCGTACGTATCTTGTCTATATCGATACCCATAGTAAGAAATGTTGTCAGCATTATCAGGATATCTATTGATGCCTTACAGCGAATGAGATGATGGGAACTTTGTCGTTTGTAATAAAGCTGGCCAGAACGAGGAATCGTTTATGCTCAATGATACAGCGGAGGAGAGTGTCTTGAGAGCCGAGGATTGTGCGGCACTGAATAGGTGAGACTCGGATGGCTTCCGCAGAAATGAGGACGTGGTTGATGCAATGGTTTGCTTAATGGTGTTGGCAGCCGCGGTGGCAATGGGCAGTTGTGATGATGCTCCAGGGGGATAAAAAGGTTCAACGACCTCGTTCGAAGGTGTGCGTGTTAATGGAGAAGTCGGAGAAAGCGAGGATGCGATTGGCGAAACAGGTGAAGTGGTTGAGAATGTCGATGTGCGTCTCGGTGGTTGTTTAGAAACGAATGTTCTGTTTGGTGCGCTCAAAGTCGGTAAAGGAGGGTTGTTTGACTGCGAAGAGCTCATGGATACGAGAACGTGCCGTGGTATTGTCGAGCAAAAGGAGCGAGAGGAGAAAGAAAAAGAAGAAATGAAATAAGACACGATCGACACTATACGCGCTGGTTCAATGTATTGTTTCTAGTGTGTGATATGCGTCCTTTTGTGTCACTGAGAATGATTGAGTCGTATGCAGCATCCACATACACTGGTAACACTGATCGTAGTTTACTCCATCATGCATTAATATCATCATCTTTTAAAGTTGGGTTGTGTTCTCGATTAAGATGCCAAGGTGGTCCTCTGATGATACCCGTTGCCCATTTAAGGATCGATCAAGTCGACTTCTTACTAGGAGATTACCTTCATCATCATATCTTCCTTATTCAAAGCTGTCTCATTCATAAGAATAGTTACTACACAACAATCTAAATCCAATGGTTTATCTAATAAGACACCTTTTTATACAATCAACATCTTGTACGCTAGATAGAAGTCCGTGTATGGATTTAGGTGCCTGTTTTCTTTAATGGTAGATAGCATAATAGAAGCTTCGAACATGCCGGTCATGTGAAATTGATGTATAGACAACCTCTTATGACGGATCAGGATCATACGTGTTAATGAAAAAGAATCACCTTGTCGATGAATAAAGCGTTACATGCATTGATATGGAGGATGTTGTAGTGTGTGTAGTGATGCATTATGAAAACAAGGTTACTGACGGGGTCCCGCAAGGCGCGTAAAATGTGGAGGTGGCGTGTAGCAGTAGCCATCCAGTTAAATGCGGACCTGCAGGCACACACACCGTTCTCTTTGCTTTTTGCCCTTTTATCTATTTGTCCCTACACTTCTTTTGTGCCTATATCATGTCGGGTAATAGTATCAAGGTCGTGTGTCGTTTCCGGCCCCAGAATGCCCTCGAGAACAGAGAAGGAGGTACTCCCATCATTGACATTGGCGAGGACGGCACTCAAGTCGCTCTCAAGGTAAACCACCCCCTCCCCCATTCATCATCCTTCCTTTGACTCCACGCTCTAATGCTCCCATTGAACAGGGCAAAGACTTCCAAGGCAGTTTCACGTTCGACAAGGTGTTTGGCATGAACACTCCTCAACAAGATGTCTTTCAATACTCCATCAAGAGCATCGTTGACGGTAGACACTTTGCACACTCTATCCTTCAGGCACATCGTATCTTGACAGCTGTTTTCTTTATTGTAGACGTCACTGCTGGTTACAACGGCACTGTCTTTGCCTATGGTCAAACAGGCTCTGGAAAGACCTTCACTATGATGGCAAGTATCGGGATTCCCATTTTTGCATGTGATGCCCGTGTCGTTCTCCTTGATCGTCTTGGTATATGCTAACATGACTTTTTTTCAGGGCGCTGACATTGATGATGAGAAAACAAAAGGCATTATCCCACGCATTGTCGAACAAATCTTTGACAGCATTATGGAGGCACCAAGCAACCTTGAATTCACTGTGAAGGTGTCGTTTATGGAAATTTATATGGAAAAAGTCAGAGATCTTTTAAATCGTAAGTATGGGTTGGGACTCGTTTAGAGGCCAATGATATTAATCACGTTGTATATCTATAGCCGCTGCGGAGAATCTACCGATTCATGAAGACAAAACCAAGGGCGTCTATGTCAAGGGTCTTTTGGAAGTCTATGTTGGATCATCTGACGAAGTTTATGAAGTTATGCGACGTGGAAGTAACAACCGTGTGGTTGGTTACACCAGTAAGTAGCCGCTTGGGTACGTGTCTACGTATCATGGCTCATTGTGTGGATGGTGTCATTGTGTAGATATGAATGCAGAAAGTTCCCGAAGTCACTCCATTGTCGTTGTGACAATCACACAAAAGAATGTGGATACGGGTGCAGCAAAGAGTGGAAAGCTTTATTTGGTCGATTTGGCTGGTTCGGAAAAGGTCTGTATGCTTTGTGTGAAAAAATGGTCATTGTTCGCTCTTGATCTCATATGCATCGTCCCAAATGACATAGGTTGGCAAAACGGGTGCATCTGGTCAAACCCTTGAAGAAGCCAAAAAGATCAACAAATCATTGACGGCGTTGGGTATGGTCATCAATGCTTTGACCGATGGCAAAGTAAGTACAACAACATGAATCTTTTTTTCTCTCATCATTGATCATTTCTCTTTACGCGTGCTTTCCTTCTATTCCCCAGTCGAGCCATATTCCTTACAGGTGAGCAGCACCATCACGTTGTATGTCAACATCATGCACGTTTGATAACACCCAATGTGTGCACACAGAGACTCCAAGTTGACACGTATCCTGCAAGAATCGCTTGGTGGTAACTCGCGTACGACTTTGATCATCAATTGTTCGCCTTCCTCGTACAATGAAGCTGAAACGCTTTCTACTCTCCGATTCGGTGTGCGTGCAAAGACGATCAAGAACAAGGCGAAGGTCAACGCCGATCTGTCACCTGCCGAGTTGAAGGCTTTGCTCAAAAAAGTCAAATCGGAAGCGGTGTCATTCCAGACCTATATTGCTGCTCTTGAAGGCGAAGTCAATGTTTGGCGTACAGGTGGCACGGTGCCTGAAGACAAATGGGTTACCATGGATAAGGTTTCCAAGGGTGATTTCAATGCGTTGCCACCAGCACCAGGTTTCAAGAGCCCTGTTTCTGATGAAGGTTCTCGTCCTGCAACACCTGTCCCTGTTCTTGAAAAGGATGAGCGTGAAGAGTTTATCAAGCGTGAAAACGAATTGATGGATCAAATTGCAGAGAAGGTAAAGCAATCACAACGAAGACTGTATTCATTTTATTAACGATCGTCAATGTTAAAAATAGGAAACCGAGCTTGCCAACAGAGAGAAATTGCTCGAATCGCTCAAGGAGGAGATTGGTTACTATAAGGAACAAGAGCAAAGCATTTCCAAGGAGAACCAAGATATGACAACCGAATTGAGTGATCTACGATTGCAGCTTCAAAAGATCTCTTACGAGAGCAAGGAGAACGCCATTCATGTTGATTCACTAAAGGAAGCCAACCAGGAGCTTTTGGGAGAATTGGAAGAGCTCAAGAAGAATTTGGCCGAAGTCAGACAAGCTCAAAAGGATGCTTCAGATGGTGAAAAGCAAAAGAAGAAGGCTGAAAAGATGGCTCAAATGATGTCAGGCTTTGATAACTCCGTAAGTAACTTTTGATTTCTTTGTTAAAGCTATCTTCTTATTATATGATGTAGGGCGTCCTTATTGAGAAGGAGAAGCAAATCCGTGATGCACTTGGAAAGCTCGAGGATGGAAAGGCCGGTTCATTGACCATTGAGGAGCTTGTATCAGTTCGTCGTGAATTGGCCGAATCCAAGATTCTTGTGGATCAGCACACAAAGACCATCGAGGTTTTATCTACCGAGAAGGAGAGCCTTGAGAAGAAGAAGAAAGATCTCGAATCTCGTTTTGGCACCCTTGAGCAGGAATATGAGGAGCTTCTTGACAAGACCATTGCCGAGGAAGAATCACGCAACCAGAAGGGTAACATTGCCGAGACCGTTTCTGCTCTCAAGGTAATATTGTCACAATGTGTCATATGCATGTGCATTCTTAACACGTTTAATATAGATCAAGCTTGAGAATGAATATCAATCCCAGAAGGAGATTCAGCAAAAGGAGATCAATGACCTCAAGAAGGATTTGGAGAGCAAGACTTCGAGTCATGAGAAGCTTACCAAGGCTGTGGCTGATTTGAAGACGGCCAACGAGGAGCTTCAGGTACACTTTTTATTCTTACTTGTTGGAAAGAGATCGATGTTGACTCGTAGGTTGGAATATAGAACATGCTATCTGATCATCCCCAGCAAGCCAATGGAAGAAGCGAAGCTGAAATGAGCGAGAAGGAAAAAGACATCGAGCGTATGCGTAAGACGATGGCTCAACAACTTGCCGACTTTGAAGTCATGAAGAAGGCCTTGATGCGCGACTTGCAAGGACGATGCGAGAAGGTTGTCGAGCTTGAGATGTCATTGGATGAGACCCGTGAGCAATACAACAATGTCTTACGTGCCAGCAACAACAAGTCTCAGCAAAAGAAAATGGCCTTTTTGGAACGCAACCTTGAACAGCTCACCAATGTGCAAAAACAGGTAAATATCAACATGGCCGTTTTCATGCAAGTTTATTCATGCTCTTCGAATTAGCTTGTGGAACAAAATGCATCTCTGAAAAAGGAAGTCGCTTTGGCAGAGCGTAAATTGATTGCACGCAATGAACGCGTTCAGAATCTCGAGACATTGTTGCAAGATGCACAAGAGAAATTGATCTCCCAGAATCAAAAGTAAGTCATCTTTATTGATACACATCCCGATATTAATGCATCTTTTAGGTTTGAAGCCCAGCTGCAGGCAGTACGTGAACGCTTGGAACAGGCTCGAACACAAAAATCTCAACAATCCATGTCAGCTTTGAACTTTGGTCGTATTGCTAAGCCCTTGCGCGGTGGAGGAACAGTCGTAGAGAATGGCAATGATACTCCTGCCTCGCCCACTTCGAACGACAAGCGTGAAAAGCGAACCTCTTTCTTCTCTGGCTTCATGGCCCGATAAATCACATCCCTCCCACACAGATATTATGCTATATATATATGATGCCATTTATAGGCAGTCTATCCTTTGTCTATGCCGCTCCTTTCATTATCTCTTTTTCCCCCTCTATATCTATTATTAAACACCAACAACTTACGTAACAAGGCTCTTATAAACCTTCCCGATATATCGTCCCCCCAAAGAAAGACAATAATAAATGATGACTCTATCACTTGACAATATAGTGTATTCCAAGACATACTTGCATGATAACTAGCGATAATAAGGTGGGCATTTTACCATTGCTACTTCCCAAGCAGCATTCAAAGCATCGAGGACATGTTCGGGTAATGGACCTTGTTCGACAGCCTTGAGATTTTGCTCGGTGTGAGCGACAGAGGATGTACCAATGATAACACCTTTATGTAAAATGGCAAGTAAGCGCTTCCATGGCTCATTCAAGTATATAATAATCCTGCATATTACCATCTCCTTTGTCTTTGTTGAGCAATGAATGATGGACCATCCAGCGTAATGCAATGTCGGTAGGACTCAATTGACTCTCCTTGGCTACTTGGTGCACCTTGCTGATAGCATCAAAGTACGTTTGGTTCCAGTATCGATCGCGGTACCTTTTTGATACACATGTACAGTATGAGACGACGTTGTTGCAATGATTCATGCAGAAAGGGGCAGACTTACATTTTGCCTTGGTTGGTTTCAGGATCAAAACGAGAATTGGATTCAACGCGGGTTGCCATGTTTTCATAATGCGGGCTCAACAAACCACCGGCCAAGGGATTATAAGCATTGAAGAGGATGCCATAGTGCTTCAAACAAGGGAAGAGCTCATGTTCAACGTCACGAGTCAATGCATTGTACATGCCTTGATAAACTGTGGGTTGAACCCAATTGTTCTTTCGCATGATTTCACAAATAGCGCTGACTTGCCAAGCTGCATAATTGGAAAGGCCAAACTATACCAATAGGTTCATTAGAGGAATGTGAGAGAGAGAAAGAGACGTGGTACTTCTTACCCGTTCAAAATGTCCTTTTTCATAAATCTCTTGGACAGCGCTCAACGTATCCTCGATGGGTGTACTATGATCCTATATGAAAAGAGACAATGTTGTTAGTTCCGGTGGTATTAGTAAGCTTCTGAAACTCTCGCTTACCGGTGCATGAAGATAAAGGATATCAACCTTATCCGTTTTCAATGCCTCCAGCGACTTCTGAAAAATGGCCTTCAAACGCTCGGGTTGATGATCGCCTGGTTGACGTGGTGCCACCTTGGTAGCCACCTTGAACTTATCAAACACCTGCAAGTCGGCGAGCACCTCCTCTGTAGTGCCATCACAGTAAACGCGTGCCGTGTCTATCACCATCATCACGTTACTATGGGAAGTACCTTGCTGTAACATTGCCTATAGCCCTTACCAAGTTCCTTGTATCCATGGCTACCGAAAACATTGATAATCTCGTTCACTGTATTGGGGTCCGTTATACGCGAGGCAGGGGTCTTGCCAAAGGTCATTGTGCTTTAAAAGTTATCCTAACAATGTTAGCACCTTCATGTATACAAGGAATCTCTCCCTCATGGCTGCCATTGGTACCCAAGAATGATGTTCATGCGCGTCATGTTGCTTGTCAAAGATAATATCGCAAAGATAAGAAGATGGTGAGTAATCTAATCCCAATTCATCAGGGCGCGCTATACCTTTAGTGACATCGCCCCCAGATCTCGCAGGATCACGTGGACGGCTAAACATGCGTTACGACGGCTTGTGTTGCCCTGGAAACGTATTCCATTGATGCCTGCTTGCATGAATACCAATACCATTTACATTTGATAGTAGTATTTGTAATAAACAATACCAGAGCAGAGAACTACTTGAGCAACCATACATAGTGGATATCCAATCACGTGTAAAGAAAGCATGCATGGTAGTAAGGTGATAGCAGCGTAGTGGGATGGGTATGCATATCAAAGGGGATCCACCAGCAGCTTAAAAGTGTTACTCAAACTCACATGAGCTGACCTCGTTTGGTGATGATTCAATTTCGGGTAGATAGCAAGCACAATTCATGCGATACAATAGCTCGTGCAACAATCAAGCATTGATGACAGGTACGTAAAGAAAAGAACAATGAACAAACTTATTTGATCCTCAACAACATCAGCGACTTATGAGAAAGGGGGGAAAGTCCAGTATTGTACAAAATCATAACAAGAGAAGGGAAGCGTTGAAAGGGGTTTTGTGTGTGTGTGTGTGTGTGTTGTGGATCCGAAGGGTGATGGGTGAAGGGAAAGTGTGAAAGAGAACAAAGGGAGATTACATACATTAAGGATTGCGCGAGAGAGGGAGAGTGGCGTGATAAATGATGGTGGTGATAATGGTGGTGTTGATTTAGAACCGAATAACCAGAATGCTGAGATTATCCGTGCTAAAGTTGGCAAGAGCATGATCCAGGAGTTTTTGGCTTGCTTCTTGAGGATCCTTGATATCCTTGATCAAATCAACAGCGTCTTGATCATCGCATACATCCCATAACTAAAACAACCCCCCATTTGTCAGTTTGATTGGTGCCTATGAATACCATCTTTTTCCTTTGTCTACTTACGCCATCACAAGCAAGGATCAAAAAGTCATCTTGTGGTGTGAGATCGGTCTCGGTTGTATATGGGTTGCCAACGACGAATTCTTTCATGACACAGTCTCCCAACGATCGGGTCACAGCTAGTACACCATTGACGCGATTATTCATCATAAATCCACCCAAATCCATGATACGCTTTGCCTCCTGCTGATCAGAACCCTTGTGATCATAAGATAAACGCACCGCTTTGCCATTACGACTGCACATGCATAAAAAGGATGGTAAGCTTGTGGTTGTGATGATGATGATGATGATGGTGGTGGTGGTAGTACTCAATAAAGAATGGCGAAAAACCTACCATAGTACAGCGCGTGCATCGCCCACATTTCCCGTGTATAAAACTCGCTATCACCAAGGATATCAGCACGTTGCCTAGATACCCTATTTTCCATCCTACCTTTTCATTCTTGACTTCCACAAATGCCACCACTGCTGTACACCCAGATGATTTGCCCTCGTTCATATTCACTTGACGATCCACTTCGAGAAACGCCAAGTTGAGAATTTCTGGAACAGGCTTGCCAACGTGTTGCTGTAGCGACTCTGCCAATATCTATAGACGCCATGGTTAGCGATCTCGAGTGGAAGCGTTGTAAAAATAGAATCCTTGCCCTGTGAAAGTTGTTGCCGCACCATTCTGCTGTGGCCCTGCCAGCATGGCCATCAAAGATGGCAAAGAAACCTTGCCTTGGTACGTTTAAGTAATCTGTGACAAAAGAGTGGGCATCTTCCATAGTTCTACGACAACGTCGATTTCTGTCTTCTGTAACGCCAATGGCGAAACCGTTGGCGGTAATGGTGGTTGGCGTCACGCTGCCATTTTGTTGGTGCGAGGTCATCTTGGAATAGAAATAATAAAGGGGCGCAAAGTGGGGAAGACGAGGAGGAGGAGAGGATTGGGTTTTGAGTTAGGAACACGTAGAAAGTGTGGCGAGTAAAGAGTAAAAGACAAAGAAAATAATTCGCAATACAGGGGTTCTTGTCCAAAAAGAAAGGCATTCAATAATGGGATACTCCACCTCCTACCGTAGTCAACTAGGTCAATGCGGCGTAGAAGAGCGTACTAGCAACGTGTGTGTGCGTTTATGGGTGTATGTGTGTGTGTGTACGAGTGGATGTGTGGATGTGCGTGTTGCGTGTATATGTGTGTGTGTCCTGTTGCGTGTGGTGATGGTGGGGTTATTTTAGAACGGTAGTATAAAAATAGCTTGGGCTTTTCATCGGCGATCTTTCTTTTCCCTTCCCAGTACTTTTTCATATTAGAAATACTATATTGTGTGCATTATGTACCTCATTGTATAAATCACGTCATTACTAAAGACCATGATAATACAAAAGAGCTTCATCCTTTATGTGTTAGGGGATCATGTCACGATGGATGTTGTATAGTGCCGTTAGCAATGACCATGTCGCGGTACATTTGAGAGGAAAGGCAAATGAAAACACGGGTTGATGATTGTCCTACCCGACGATAGCCGTAAGTGTCATGAGTGGATGATGATGATGGTGGGTGAAGGGTGATCAGCAGATCTTGGATCCAGTTATCTACCGTTTTTTACTCCTGATAAGTTGGTGTATCCCACAGCAGCACGTAAATGGCACACCTGATGTAACGTGTGAGCACCTATTCATGCGTCTCGACCCTCCCCAAAAACAATCCTGCCGATTGTGTGCGTGGGATTCAAAAACATACACACAAACACACCTGATACAGCAGCATTCGTATAATGAATGAGACTAGCATTTATAACAAAGCAGTGTTTTCTGACTCACTTTTGTCATGCATTCCACAACATCACCCCCTCTTTCCAAACACAATAATAATCTCAGCCTCATCCACCATATCACTGAAACCTCACCTTCGTCATCATCATCACCATCATCCGAAAAACCGGTCATTCCTCCTTTATTCGTATGCTTTGTACATGTGTGTTATATGCCATGCATCTTGTACAGCCCTTTGCATAACATATGCAGCATGGATAGCAATGTGCATCCAGAAATGGTAATACCGGTGTGAGTCAGCGTCGTTTTAGGGGGTTTTTTTGGTTATTTGAATTTGGTGTGCGTGATACAAAAAGTGACCCTTTTGTCGCACCTTTTTAACTGCATTTATCGCACACCATATGATTTTCCTTTCTCCTCTCCCTTTGTCTCATCATCAAACCACTTTGATAGTAGTAAAAAAGAACAAAGACCTATGGTCATCATCATGTCATCTGCATACAAAGATATGAAAAGTAGAAAAAAATGGGAGATTGCCATCATGACCAATTCCAAATAGCAAAAGAAGTTTACGCTCACTTGGCACATTCTGCTTGCGGACTTGTTTCCGCAAATGATAGCAAACATGGTGAGTTGCAATCGGCAGCAAAAATAACATCACAATGATGTCCTATGCAATGAAAGGGTATTGCGTATGTGTGTGTGTGTGTGTGTATGTGTGGGTGTGTACGTGCGTATGGGTATGTGTGTGTGTGCGTGTGTGCGTGGGCGCATGCTCGTGGGGCAAGCAAAATGTCTCACTCGGCATTTTACGGACACGTTCTGAAATATGATTGGTTATCGTACATCCAAAACGACTAGTGTCTGGTGTTGTAGGATAAAATGATATATTGTTGAAGCATGATGGCGTGCATATGTACCGATGGATGAAAGAAGGAGAGAGAGAAAAAGAGAGAGGAGTAAGAGGAGAAACTATGTTGAAAGGGAGGAGGGGATAGCAGCAGCAGCCTTACCCAAGTCCAAGATGGGGGGTTGTTGTTGTGTGAGGGTTGCTTATTTTTTACAGGGTGAAAGAAAGGAAAAGGAAAAACACAACCAACTCGCCATCGTCGGAAAGAAAAGCATCATTGGTGCTCCGCTGCTTGCAAAGCCACCAGGTAAAAGATATATAAAGGGCACCGGTTCGCACAACCCAAAAATTCTTGGACCTATTTATACTAAGCCACAGAGCTTTCTTTCTTTTTCTTTCTCCTCTCTCTCTCCCACTTACAGCGCATACGACAATGTCCGGATTCAAGATTGCCACCCCCGCTATGCAGACACCGTCTGTCCCAACTCCCAATAATAATGCAGCCACGCCTTTTGTTCCTTCTACACCTGCACCTGTCGATGCACCCACACCTAGTAGAGATCAGAATCCTTATGCAGTGGCGGGTATTACACCTACGTTACAGTAAGTTATCGCATGAACGGCATTTACACCCACCCCCTATACCACCAAATAAAAAACACAAGATACCATTACATCACCATCCAATTTGTTTCAATGTTGTTGTTATTAACACTGTATGGCACTTACCATAGAAACATTGTTGCCACCGTCAACCTGGATTGTCGCTTGGATCTTAAAACAATTGCGCTCCATGCACGCAACGCCGAGTACAATCCAAAGGTACACATAGTTGCCGTATGATAATGTTTTTTGGACACTGGTATACTCAACGGTTGATTAGCGTTTTGCCGCCGTCATTATGCGTATTCGAGAACCAAAAACAACTGCCTTGATTTTCGCATCTGGCAAAATGGTAGTGACAGGAGCAAAGTCTGAAGATGATTCAAAATTGGCTGCACGTAAATATGCTCGTATCATTCAAAAGCTGGGCTTTCCGAGCAAGTTTACCGATTTCAAGATCCAAAACATTGTTGGCTCATGTGATGTACGGTTCCCAATTCGTCTTGAAGGTCTTGCTTACTCTCACGGACATTTCAGCTCTGTATGTATCGATGGATGGATGGATGTGGAAGGGAAAAGAATGATGTTGCTCATTCATTTATGTTTGGTAGTACGAGCCTGAATTGTTTCCAGGTCTCATTTATCGCATGGTGAAGCCCAAGATTGTATTGCTTATCTTCGTATCGGGCAAAATTGTCTTGACAGGTGCCAAAGTGCGTGAGGAGATCTATCAGGCCTTCCAAGCTATATACCCTGTGCTGCTTGAATTCCGTAAACCTTAAAATCAGTCATCTTAATACCAATTACAAGTATGGTAGGTCTCCCCTCTTCCACCCTTCTCACGCTTATACAACATCCTTGCCTGCTCTTTTCCATTCACCCTTCGCAATATTCAAAAAAGCTTATTACACATATTCAACAACCCCATCCAAAGTCAACAACTCGCACACACACACATACACACACACACACACGCATTCACATTGCATGTTCTTTGCATTTGCTTCCCCCCATTCTTTGTATAAATTAGCTTCCCACTCTGTATCATACATCCCGATTTGGTTTGTAAACGACAATCAAATAAACAAAAAAAATTGAAGATACTGTACATGTGTGGGTTGTCAAGTGGATATGGAAAATTGCATGACAGCAACCAATTTAGGGTAGAGCGGCTCCTTACGCTGGAATTTTTTCGTTGTCGACCTACCTCTTTTATTACCCAAGTTCCTCCCCCCTTCCCATGTCATCGGAACAGATCGCCAAAGCCCTGAAGGGTGCTGGTTTATCAGCTGAAGAGCGTATCGACACAGCTGTTCAAGCTTGGCAAAACGACAAACTTTTCTTTCCAAACAAGGACGATTTCTTGCTGGAATGGCTATGTACAGCGTTGACGAGATCGAAGCTGAAATCGTAAGCAGATCCTCCCATGTCACTCGAGTCCCCTTTCGACAGCCATTGACTTTATCAATAGATCGACCGATACAGCTGTTATCCAAGTCGCCTACTGGCAGCTGTTGCAAGAGCTACTTGCTCACTATACTGAACGCGTCAATACCACCGGTCGATCGCCTCCCAGCATACGAGTACCCCTCATTACTTCAGTCACCACGCTGCTCAACCGTATCAAAAAGGATCCACCAGCACAACAAAAAGAGCTATTGGAATATGTGTCGAATGCATTAGATTTGCTCTTCTCGCCAATTTTCGCCTTATCGTATCGACCCACGTTTGAACATATGGTTGCTGTGATGGATCAGCTATTGGAGACACTTGCAACTCAAATCGACAATGATGCGCTTGCCAACCTTGCAAAGGTGTTGCTGAAACGTTACAACTCGCAAATCATGCAATCTGCCAATCATAAAAAGGTAATATCGTAGCAATGTGAATACTATGAGATTCATTAACTTTTATGCATGTAATTAGGCTTTCACGGTGGTTGTTGGCAAAACGTTCCCGGCACTACTCTCGATTCGTCGACGCATTGCAGCTACCGACAACGAATTATCATTGCTATTGACCGACCTATTATCATCGAGTCTCTTTCATCCTGACAGCATCATGGAATACACGTCTATTTTCAGATCATCCGACGCTGCATCGTTCCAAAGCAACAAGTCTACCTACGTGTACAAGTTGTTTGAAGAACTTGGTCGATTGTTAAAGAAGCCTGAGAGTGTTGAAGATGGTAATGTACTTTTTGGTTGCCTAGTGATTGTTGTTGCGACACATACTAATGGGATGATCCATTTACAGTGTTGGATGTGATACCTGTTTTGTATTCACGATTTGTGCGTGCATTTCGGAAAAAGAGAGGCCAAACAGCTGGTCAAGACACCGTGCGACATGTGGAATTTGGCTTTTTGGTGGAATGTCACAAGATTTTGGAGCAGTGCTCGGATGTGGATACGCTTTGTCAGCTGCTGCACGTTTTATTGGAGTTGAATGTTTACGTCGCACGAAATGATGATGTATCTCGATCACAACATGCTTTCTTGGATGACATTGCCGAAAATGCAGTCAATTTGTTGGGGTCTCCTAAAGGTGAGTATAACGATTTATATGCTGCTGGTTCCTTCATGCTAAACCATGTGATAGATTGTGATCAGGCCTCGGTGATGCGATTGATCGATGTATTGCTTCAAATCGATCTTTTGCTGGTTGAAGCACGCATGAACAAGATTTGGCCGGTTCTCATTCAGGCAAGTCTTACAACTACCAGCAGCCAAAGACGACAAGTGGACTGACATCAATCTATAGCCACAAGCCAAATCATTAGACACTTGCATGATTCTTGCATTATCAGTACTTTCTGTTTATTCAGCTTCACGACAGATGGATGCATTTATTGGCGATCTTCTCACCGCTTTGAAAGCCGTTTCATCCAAGACTGATATTGATTCGCTATTGACGATGCCCTGCTTTAGTAGACGATTCCTTGATGAGTATGGGTTGATTACGAGCATCATTTGTTCCTTTCTCACATGGCTATTATTTGCTAGGTTCTCAACGGTCGTCAGCAAATCCCTTCCAACAAATCAAGTACCGATACTCTTTGAACAATTTGCCAATGAACTTTATCAAGACAACTCTCCCGCAGTTATTCGGTTGATGAGCATCTTTTTCGCACAATTCATTACCTCGGTCAACCTTACACAACATCAACGACGTGCTTTCGAATCACAAACGCATGCTCTCTTTGAACGTTTTATCAAACCTAGTCTTGAGGAATCGCAAAAGAATCAAGGCAATTTATTGGCAGCTCTGCAACTACATACAGCTTTGACGAACAGCATGGCGGATGTCTATTGGGCAACGTTGAGTGGCGACACGCGTGGATGGCTTGCCGAGGTGCTCCAAACGAGATTTGATCAATGTCATAAGGAGGATACCAAAGATGGTCGGTGCGTCACTGTTTTGAGTGTGAGTATAGTGCCAAGCGAGGAGCTATCGTGAATGATATTAATTCCCTTTTTCTTCATGTAGGTAACGGCCTTGTTACAACATGCCTACTTTTCGTACTTGAACATTGCAGCTGAAGAGGCTACTCAATCTTCACCACTGGATATGGTTGGCCGTGTGCTTGATTTTGTTCTCGAGGATCATCAAAGTATTTCATCAAAGGATACATGGGATGGTTCGTTGGTGCATTTGGATTCGAGTGCTGTCAAGATTGCATGTTGGAAACTCATCACGGATGAATGGTTTGATGTCATTTGGTATGTATTATCCACTCAGTGGTCACTTGCAATCTCATTCTTACGTATGCAATAGCCGTTCATGCGTGGGAGAACGAGCCAAGAAGCTGGCAGAATTGGTGTTAAACCCCTTGATGGAAACGCCATGGCATGGATTTGAGAGCAATCAAGTTTCAATCCCCTCGATCAATCAATTACTCTTACGCTCTGCAAACTTTTATGAGGCTACCAGTTTACAAGGTAAGTTGAAAGAAGGAAGAGAGCATAGGCAAGGTCATCTAATTAGACCCTATGTAGAATATGCGGCTACAACGGTGATTGATTCTTTGGCCGAGTTTTTCAAAGCACACATGGATGACACAGCTTCAGGAAAGATTGCACGTGTACTAGCAATGATGGAAGGTGCATGGACAGCGGATCAGCTCGCAGAGCTTGCTACTTGGCTTAAGGAAGGAGCCGACATGGATATTTGCAGCCAAGATGATACAGCAAAGTTGGAACGTATGCTCGATTTATTGTTGCTTTTCCCAATGGAGTATTATCACAAGAGCAATCGATCCATCCTCTTACGTGCTACCTTATTGATTGATGCCTGGGCGAACGCTGGCATGTGTAAGAGTGGTCCTATTTCTCTACGTGCACGAACATTGCTCTTGCGTTTAATGTCCAACTATCACGGTCAGCATGGGTTGGTAAGTTATCACATACACGCGTGGTGATGATGATGGCGTTGTAACACTTTTCCCTCTCTCTCTTAGGAAACCAATGTTGATTTATTGTCATGGTTCCTTGACTCTGCCAGTGGTATTGATGAACCTGGTATCCTTCACGTCACGAAGCAGATTGACTTGCTTGTATTGCGGTATGTAACAGGAAAAGGCTTAGTTTTGTTTCAAACTAATGCTGTGTGCATATAGATCATTGATGACACAAGCTGATGGTGACAGCGATGCTGCATCATTTCTCGATTCTACATTCAAGCAACGACTGCAATGGTTAAAGACACAACAGCCTAATGCAAGCTGCTGGACGATGGATGCCGTGGAATCGGTGATTGGATACCTAAAGGCTCATCCTACCAAGTAAGGCGATATTTTCTTTCTTGTATGCGCGTGGATGTGTGTGACTAATTATTTCACGCTATTTGGGACCTGCAGATGTGTTGATGCGGATACCACAAGGATTGTTTTTGCAGCCGACATTGTATCACAAACATCCAAGCACGTGATCCATTGTTTGAAGCAGGCACATTCTTTGCTCTTGGACGCTCCTGAAGAAGGCTTAAGCATCTTGACAAAGGACATCTTGGCTTTGGCATCCTTGTTACATGAATATGATCAGTTGGTCAAGCCCCAGAGTGGTAAAGGTAAATGAGCGAATCTTATGTGGCAAACACCTATTCAACTAAATGTTCATAGTTGTCGATGCCAATGAGTTGTCACAACGTATGGTGCGTCTTGCTTCGCCATTCACAGTCCTGGTTCAGCGTTCTTTGCGGTCACCTATGCCAATCCATGATCGCATATTGGAAACGACGACAGCATTCGTTGGATCACTATGCCGAGCAGTATCTCAATACCAGCATGCTTATGTAACGGAACGTGTTTTGGCAGTGATTTGGTTCATCGTCACTCTCGTGTATGATTCAGGTAATCTATCTCGATCATTTTTCAATGTCATGGTCGCCAAGTACTCATTACCATTCGCACTCTTAGATCAAAAAAGTGTTCAACAGCTGTGCGATGCTCTATCGTCATGGGTGAAAACGTTGGATCAAGAACAGTATGCGGTTGTACTTGCTGGATTTATTGCACAAGCGGATCGAATGGTGGATCAAGAGCGGGAGCATATCTATTTGACCCTTTTAGCTACTACTGTGCAAGCATCTACCCAATGTAAGTATTGCGTGTACATTTTTTTCTCATTGACGGCTTCTAATTTTAATGTTTACAATAGCACAAAAGCCCATTGTTCGAAGGCAATTCTCTACGTTTGTGACCAAGCTTACCATGATTGGTGTCAAAAGACGATCAGCCAAGTTTATTCACCAAGCATTACTCTTTATGGCAGACCTTATCGCTGATATTGTAAGTAAATCGCTTTTTACAAGGGAAAGAAAGAGCGAAATGTGTATTAATCTATCATACAATTCACATAGAATATGGCCGTCAGCAAACAAACACTGTCCTTGGTATTGACCAGTATCATCCAATTGACCAATGTGGTACCTGTTGCCGATGTCGATCAGCCTACATCACGTGCGCTATTTGATGCTGTACACTTGCTTATGCAGAACATCTTGATTTATCGACGTGAGCAGCTTGTGGATGTGTTACCTGTCTACATTGCTATTGTACAATCGCTGTTGCAGTGTTTCCGATCGACCCATCTCGCATTAACCAGCAAATCCAACAAGGAGCGGTTACGTACTTATACGCTACTAATTCCTTCCGCGCCCCTCGATACCTCGGCTGCAGAACGAATGGCAAGACTTTTCTCTGCTATGGAAGCCAAATTCCTTACTGAAGGCAAAAACCAACGACTCAGTGCAGCAACACAGAACAAGTTGATATCTAAGCATGTCCCATTCTTGCTACTTGAGTACTTTTCAATTCAAGCACATCCAGCCATGAGCATATCTCAACCCCAAGTGAAGACTATTTTGGAACAACAAGGCCTTTACAATTTGATGGATATGGTCAATGAGAGTCAACGGCATATGATCTTAGCATCCCTTAATGAAGCCGGCAAGTTACTATTCAAAAACTTTTACTCCAGTTGGAAGGAGAATCATATGTACAAAGGACAATAAATCGTAGAGTCTATTCTTTTTTCTTTTCTTTGCCAATTCATCTCGTGTATAAAGTTGATATATAGCATGTACATAATCCACCATTTACTGGCATTTTGAACGCACAAATCCGAGCCATTGGAAATAACTCATCCCCGAGCTGACTTGTTGTTGATTTGCACCTGCTGTTGATGGGCCTGTTGGTAATCGATCTTCCACAAGTCGACTTAGGCACATGGCTCGTAACATGGGATCACCATCTTCTTTGACAATATACAATGAGGGGAAATAGGTGCCTTGATGTTGCTTTTGAATCGCATGGACAATACTTGATACGCGTTGAGAGAAGGCATTCTTCAATTGGGGAAGCTCAACCATCTAAAAAATGCATGTGAGCCCCTTTCTTTGGTCGTTTCATATGCCTCATTCATCGTTTTTACCTGTCCAGATTGCACTTGGCCAATGTTTGGTACGCCGAGCAAGTCATTGCATAGCTGTGGCACAGCATCTTTACCAATCCAAATGTAGATTCGTTGACTGTCGTGGATAAGATAGCAGCCATGGCGCTCAAACTTTTCACTTGTCAAATTCATGCGTGGTGGCATAACACATCGACCTGTTTGAGGATCATTGGTTCCAGCCTAGACAAAGAGAACATGTATGAGGATAAAAACGGGGATGGTGTAATTCATTTTCATACCTGCTGTGGCATACAATGTAGTGCATAAAACTTTGGAGCAACGTATTCGAGCCACAATGAAGTAGGCAACGTCCTGAGAAGAACAGTGGATTGTGCACGCATGTCCATTGGAATGTTGCCAGCTTCATTAAAGGTATCCTTTTCAAAGAAAAAAGTTAGCTCTAGTCCTTCAGTCCTATCCAATACCATACATACTGTCTTGAGCACACCAAGAGCAAGGAATGGCAACATTGCCAAATTGCGACTTAGAGATAATCGTGCTGCTCCCGATGCTACTGATCCAATCACCTCTCTTGCATAAGCACTAGAAATGTCGATGGTGCCCTTTGCTAGCAAGTCCCTTGCATCCTTCAGCTTTTGTGTCACAGCCTTATCGATAGCTAAAGAACATGATCAAATAAGAATGATGATGGTGACTGCCAGGTTTTGCTTACCTTCATGACAAAGAGCACGAGCAATAGCGACCTGATCGACTGATGAAAATATTTCTGGTAGAGTGCGTGCCACAGGAAGGCAAAGGTTGATGACACGGATGCGGCGTTCTCCAAAGCATGTTGTGTACAAAAGAGCCGTTTGGAAATAGACATGGCTTGATTGGATATCATCTTCAAGGGTGAGCTCGATGCAATAAGATTGATCACGTGGTACGTTGGGCAATGCCATAATGTCTGGTACTCGAGTTGTGCAATTGCCATGGAAAGCGTGGCACACCAAACCAGGAGAACAACGTGTACGCATCACCGCCTCCAAGCCAATCTGCTCACCCAATAGCGATTGGATTTCATGGGTCAACTTTTGGACATCGGCAGGGTTCTTGGCATTGAATCCAGGGAAAAAGTGTGTTTGACCACCTGTGAATCGAGGAATAACGTCTGTATAAAGCGCCCACATCAGCCAATCAATTCCATAGGCTCGCACCCAAGGAGATACTTACTCATGGTAGCCACATCAGCATGAGGTCCTGTTCCAAAAACAAACATGTCGGCACACACTTGCGACTTTGCACATTCAGTGGCAAAGGTACGATAAAACATGTTGGATGGCGCCATAATAGCTGTATCGATCACGGCCTTCTTTTCATCAGCTGGTCTCACTGTGCCATCTCCCATGCTAGGAAGACTTCCTTGGAAACAAATGATCTTTCCTCCCGTGGATGACTATACCAAGATGCAGGTTAAAAGAGCTGTAATAAGGATAACGAATGGCTCAATCGCTCACCAACAATTTACGAGCTGCTTGTAAAGCTGTTCCCAGGCAATTGTTAACCATGTGAGTCCCATTATGCATCGTCTTTAAACGCTCCAATAAATCTTGCACCACTGCTTTGGCATCCGTCAACTCGACCAACAAGTCGCTTGCAGCACGAGGCAGATACACTTCCATCAAGTCTCCCACAACCAGCATTTCAGGTTCCTCTCCTGCTAGCTTATAAAAGCCAACTGCATTGTCCACTGTAATAAAAGCAACCTTGGTACGACCATCATCATTGGGTATCTTGTCCAGTGAATCCAAAATGGCAGTGGCAGTGACGTTGACCATGCCGGTTTGTACGGCTTGATAGGATGTATCAATCACAAAGACGTAAGCAGGTGGTTGTGGCGGGCGTTCCATGTATTCAGCTGAAGCCATAAAATCAACGCAACCGTAATTGAGTTCCACGCGTTGCCAACGATCCACTGATAGCTGGTTGACAACATCCCAATCAAATGCACTAGGTACTATCACACATGGAGATGAGTCTCTAGTTGTATCATTGACCACATGATCATCCTTACCATCGTTATCCAATCCACACAAGTTGCATTGCCATTTAAGAGCACCTTGGCTGAATCGTACAAAGGGATTGATATAGGATTTGCACCGAGTACACCGAGCAATAACAGTATCGGAAACCACAGGTACATTTTCCTATGAATGAGATCAGAGAAAGGCTCTAGTTAGGAGAAGGAATCAGCTTACATTGACTGAAGGATAAGGTTCGAGTAAAAGCGCCAAAGGAAGCTTGCTCTTTTTCAACAAGGCATTGGAGGAAGGCACAGCGTTTAATGTTGAACGTATAAAGGTTGAACTAGATTGAGCGTGAGGAGATGGTGTAACTGTCATCTATCAACATGGATCAGTTTGCCTAGCAATCAAATAAAGATAATATCATCTTACATGTTGAGGAACGTGAGCAGTAGGAGGAGCCGTATCCAAGTCGTTAATGAGAGGTGCCTGCCCCACAAGAGGTACATCATCTCGTGCTGGATTACTGGGAGCATTGTTGTATAGATTCATATTGGCCACACCATTAGCGAGTCCTGCTGGAGTAGCAGCAGCGGCAGCAGCATAGTCGTTGGTGGATGGTGTTGGCATGACAGGTTGTGGCATGGGTGGTTGTTGCATGGGCGAAGGTGGCAACGGCTGTTGTTGTGGTTGTGGTTGCTGTTGGACATAGGTTGGATAATGGCGTCTAGCGCGTCGACTGGAGTGATGAGGTTCCTGTTGCAGTGATGGTGAACCAGCCCTGTTCTGCATGTTTGGAGTTGTGGGAGGAGAAAGGCCTTGTGATGGTGACCGAACTGGCATCGGGGCTCCATTGACAGGAGCTGCAAACGCGGGATTGGCGTAAGGATAGTTTTGAGTCATCCCGATGAACGAGAGTGGTGATGGAGTTTGGCAAAGGAAGGAGTCAAGGCGTCCGTGATGTGACACCACTCAAAATATCTTTCCATTAAGAGTCAGCCACGTTGCATGCATTACAGTCAATTCCCATTTGACCCTCCTTCAAGGTACACAAACACCTTATCCCACATACTCTCTACAAGCTATTACGATATACAATAACAAGCATATGAACATTCTATTGCTGACATGTGACAAGAACAGGCAAGCTCATGGTGTGTTTCATCATATACAGTGGTCATCAAAGTGGTGTGGGTTTGCTATTTGCATCATGCTTTATTCACATCCAGATAGCGCACCCTGTTGCCAGGACCACCGTTGCTACTTACTATGGCGCCCTCATACATAGCCCTTTTGTATTGCCAATACCCAGGTACGCTTTGTTTTCCCCACGCTCGGCTCATTTTTGTTGTGATACCTATACTTTAATCAAGGTCATAGGTAAGCGTTGCAACCTCCCTTATCTTAGTGATCAACAAGCCATTTGAATCATGATTATTATTCAGGGTAGTAAACGAATGTAATAAACATTGGCTAGCTGTGATGGCTAAATATGGGTAGCTATACACATCACCAGCGAAAACCTACCTCTACCAATACACAGTATCCATGAACCTTTCCTTCGTCGCCTTGCCATGATCCACTCAACCATTCAACCACTCTATCCACCACTTTGCCTACTACAATGCATCACGAATAAATCACATGCCAAGTTGAATTGTAGCAACAGCTAAATTTTATATATACAGATGTGGATGTTGTCAATGGAATTCTTGCATGATATCAAAAAATGGTTGCCTAGCTACCAAGACCACCGCGACGGCCCATTTGTTGCTGCTTTCTAAACCGTAATCCATCCTCAAACTGCTTTTGCAAATCATTGGAAATACGATGCTTCTCATCTTCGTCAATAGCACTCTTTAGAGACCCATACAAACCTCCTCCTGACTTTTTGGTTTGCTGACGTTCGGATGGTTGATTGCTCGCCTTTTTGGCACCTAACAAGCGCAAGAACTTGTCCTTCTGCTGCTGATCTCCACCAAAGCTGGCTTTGTTCCAATTGTTCCATCCACCACTTTCCTCTTTAGCATCCTCGTTGTTGGTATTCGATGGTGATGATGGTTGTGTATCAATGTTCTCTGGCGTTGAAGGGTTGCTGTCACATGCATGCTTTCGTTGCTTCTTTTCATCGTCGCCCTTTGTCTTGTCCTTTTTCTTCTTCTCCTTCTTTTTCTTTTCCTTCTTCACGCCATCATCGCCATTCGATTTAGACTTCTTAGCCTTCTTCTCTACGCTATCCTCTCGCTTTCGTTTCTTGTCTATGAATAAAAAGAGCATTAACTATCATGATACAACAAGCCAGCTAGTACACTACGCTTTACCATCGCTCGACTTCTCCTTCTTGCTTTTCTTCTAATGTCAATCGTGTTAACCAGCGATCGCAGTGTATGAGATTCGTCATACCTTGGCAAGATCGGTTGCGTGCTTTTCTTTTTCTTTAACTTTGTCGGACGAGCCCATATTGAAAGAGAGAAATGGACATGCAATTACCCAACACGCTCCCATATTTCAAACAAGCCACTCCGCTGCGATCACGTGCACATCATGCATACTGCTCGGGCTTTTGCTATGTGATTCATCTTATCTCCAATCCATCAGGGTCGATTTGAGCCATTGTACGAACATGTCAAAACAAGAACATTCGGATGGGTGGCTTCAATTGCTGCTATCACTAACAGAAATGGGAGCTTGTATATCCATTCCATTGGACATGATGATTCATATCCCTCCTTTTGCTGCTCACCCCACATGCAATCCTCCATTCAATCACAAAAACGGAAGAATGATCCGTAAACACCTATGCCCTATCATCATCCGTAAATCACATCTCCTAATACAAGGGGGTCTTATGCTCGGGTAAGTGGTTTGATCGCAAAAATGACATTCTATGCTCCTGTATGTAAATAGTTTTTTGTAGTTGACTATACAAGCTGTGTCTGAACAACATTAATTTTCGCCACGCATTGCCCACTATCACACATTGGCTTCACTTACTACATACATTTCATAAAAAGCCATTGTACAACGAGGGAATCCCGCCATGATACGCTCTATGTTGTAGTGATTGCATGTCGTGCATAAATGGATAGGATGTAATGCAAGCTTAAGGAGAAAAGAAAGTTGTGTCATATACTACGTGTTTGCCATTGGTAGTGTTGTATCTTCCAGTCAACATGTATGCTGGCATCCTCTGACATGTCGGTTACACAAAGATCAAGTATCCCACGTTGTTCATTGTTCGCATTGTTTGTGTTGCAGCCAACATTCTTGTGGCCCAAAACGATTGTCAACATCCATGGGCAGGGGAAGATGTAACATGGGTCACTTTTGTCATTCGCATTTACTCCTCTTGTTCGGGTTGCCCCACTTCTCCTACCATCCTCCTTGCTTAACATGACCGTGATCTGCTACATCCAACACGATCCCCCACTTTTCCCTTTCTACTTATAGGGAGACCCAAATTCTCTTTATCAGGTTCTTAAAGCTTCACGAGATACGGGATAAGGTGGTGTCGTTATGTAAGGGTTGTGACATTGTCTATGAAGAAAGCGACTTTAGGACAATGATGAGACAAGTTGTCCACTATGCAAGGGCTCGCTCGTTGACTCTTTTAGGGAAATCACTAATTCAATTGTGTCACCTTCCTCCTCTTGCTATATGCCGGCTGTGCCGCGAAATCACCACGTTGGGGATTACCAAACACCCCTTATTGTGCTTAGTGCAACACGACCCAAAGCCTTGGCAGCCGCATCCTCCAAAGATAATAAATAAAATGGAGAGCCATTTCTACCAAATCGGCTTTTGACAACGCCCCACATCATGAATTAGCAGAAACGATCAAAGAAAGATGGTAACAATGAACCTGCTGTAAAGAGAAAGGAAGAATAACTCTATCACCACGTATCATGTAATGATGATCCTTCCCCTAGAGCACATAAGAGATAACTGAAAAAGCCGCTTATAAATCCATTTTACAACCTTTTCCCTCTCCAAGGGCGACTCTTGGCTATGATGACTACAGCACAGCGGCATATCAAAATGTAAATATGACCCCAAAAGCGGTCATTTCATTTTCTAACGAAGCTTGATGTTGGAGTCTTTATTCAAACATCACAACCTAAAATGTGATTTTGACAGCTTCAGCATTGATTAAACATAGCAACATGCACCCTGTATCCATTAGACGCTCAACAACCCCCACATCTGATCTAGAATTATCATTACATCCAATAGTCATGCATTCTCACAATCTCGGCAGACGTTCGATCATAAAGGGCGCTCTATAACCCATCGCAAACTACAAATTGAAGCGCTTTTAATCGCTTCTTGGACATTTGAGCAGAGGCATCGGTGTTTAAAGGTGATGTTTTAAGACATGAGAACCTGCACATAGGTTTTCACAAAGGCCATCGTTTGCAAGAAGGGTCCCAATTTCTCGAGGAATATCCTTGAAATGCATGACTACATGTTGCGTGCTGTGAGGTGGGAAGAAGTGGGTAACCAACCGTTGCCATGGTGAAGCCATAGCAACCAGTGATTACAACCATCACGTTGTCCATATGCAGCATACGAAATCTTAAAGTACAGTCCTTACACTTTTGATTTCTACCACGTCAATGTGATGTCAATGGTGTATAGGCTTCCATTTCTTATTTTATGTACTTTGTATTATGTTGGCTACAACTTGTATTCATTGACTGAGATCCATGCTAGGAGGCTTCTACTAAGCTGACTACTAGATAATCGCGAATTGAGGAAAACGGGTTTTGGACTCCCCCAATTTCATCCTTGTTTTGGGCTTATTGTGGAAGGTGTGCAACGGAATCGGTCAAAAGGGAACGTTGCAAAAGAAGGGGGTGAGGAGTAATTCTGGTGCGAATAGACAACCCAGGTGATTGATTTAGAGAACCACGCGAGGGGAACAAGGGAGGGAGGCAAAAAAAGAAGAAAGGGGTTAATTGGAAGCGGTTTATATATAAAGTGAAAAAGAGAGTGGCACATGCTTGCTGCTTCTCTTTCTTACTTCTTGTTGTGTACTCGAGACCCTTTACTTTACACATGTCTAATTTTGCACCCCAAGCTCAGGGTTGGCTGATGAAACAACGCCATGGCATTCGAAAATCATGGGTGCGGCGCTATTTCGTTCTTGAAGGCAATGAGCTACGATACTACAAGAGCGAGGTAATGAGAACAATACATGCACAATATCCTCTCCTCTTTTTTCTTTGGATATTGCCATAGCAACATTGCAAGTTTTGCCATTGATTGATATGTTAACCCCCTCCCTCCCTGTTACACATAGACTGATACCTTGCCCCAGAATGTGCTGCATCTTGATCAGTACCAAATTGTAACCGACGTTATCCCGATTGCCTTACCATCGATACTCAAAAAGCAGCCTTCACGACAATACACATTCTTGTTGCTCTCTAATGATAAAAATGAGCGATCCGATATGTTTCTGCAAACCGAGACCAAAGAAGAGCTGGATATCTGGGTCTCTGCTTTGGAGCAACAACAAATGGGATCCACAAGTGTTCTCGACAAGTGGCTCGAACGACTCGATATGCACACGCATTCTTCAGCTATACCACCACCATTGCCATCGTATATGGATCGTGCTGGTTCATCGACATCATCGCTCTTGTCACCACAACAACAACGTCGACCCACTTTACGAGGCCATCGATCATCTGAATCACTTGCTAGTAGTCTTAGTTCATCCAACTCTATGACGGCTTCAACAAGATCTTCGTTTGGAGAGTTGCGACGCACATCCAATCCATCAACCGTTTCATCTACTTCATCCAGCAACAATAATCATCCCAATAGTATACATAGTAGTAACAAATTCCTCTCTAATTTATTCCATCATTGGTCGTCTCGCCCAAAGTCACCAGCTCGCAGCGTTAGCCCTCCACCACCTCTAGCATCAACACAACTTTCATCTACTACCGCTGATCCTAATACGGAAAAGAATGACAGCGTATCTATAAAGGAGACCGTTTCTTGCAACGTGGCACCAGCAATGCCGATCATTCATCCCAGCGAGTACAACAAGTGTTATAAAGATGTTCACCAGCAAATTCGATCACGATCCTCTTCCATTGCTTCACGAAGAAACATCCAAGTGACTCCCATAGTGGCATCTCCTTCTTCCTCCTGTTGTTCGGCAGCATCCGCCACTGGTATGGCGCGTGGTCGTTCGTTTCCTGCTGGTGGGGGTGAGGCATCATCAGCAATTATTGGTGGTGGTGTTGATAGTAATGATCATCCCTCCTCATCTGTCTCCTTTTCCTCGGTTCCAGACAGGTTTCCACGTGCTTTGACAACCCCTGCTCTTGATGATTCCGCATAAAAAATCATTTTCATCCATGCCACATGGTATGTAATTAGCATTTAATGTGAGAGCGAAAATGTATCGCAAACACACACATAATGACTCCCACCTCTCTCTCTCTCTCTTAATTGTTTTTCCTTTGATCAAAAGATACGCACACACACACGCATACAAGAAAATTCCATATACCTTTGTCATTTTCACTTTTTCCTTTCTCCTTTTTACATGTAACAAAGTTGTGTTTATTCTTGTTGTTCTACTTTGCGTAATGTGTGTGATGATAGTGGTGATGGTGGTATTGTTTTCTATGCGGTAGGCGGTGATGGAGGCGACAAGTTCTTGGCATACTTCGCATTAAAGAGGGTGTAACTAAGAGTAACGGTGTTGACATCTTTCATGTAAGGGTCGTCCAAAAAGTCGGGATCGATAAAGAAGAATACAGGCATATCAACATCTTCACCAGGGGAAAGTCGCTGTTCTTCGAAACAAAAGCATTGGATCTTGTTAAAGTAGGAGCCTGCACGATGAGGTGTGACATTGTAAGTGGCGATGCCAACAATATCATCATCGGCCTTGCTCTTCGCCTTGTAAAATGTCAATGCCGTTTCACCAGGTACCACATGGATCTCACGCAACTCGGGCTTAAAGGACCATGGTAACGCATCGGATGTGTTGCTCTCGAATGTAATACGAATACGACGCTTATCTTCATGAGGTACAAGACGTTCTCGTGCAAATCGACTCGCATCTGTCACCGGTGTGCCGTTGTAACCAGTCGAAGCACAAAACAATCGATAAAGTGGCACTGCTGCATAAGACAATCCAAGCATCGATATGAAAAGAGCTGCTGTGTACATGCCGGCAGAGACATTGCTCTTGTCGTCTTTAGTGCCGTTGCTCGATGTCGACGCCCAGCGTCCTCCTCGTTGGAATTGCATACATGGTTGAATGTTGGTGGTTGGCTTACATGCTGTTGGACGTCCAAATCGTGCCAGTGATGTGGTTAATCGCCCTCTGAATGGAGCGGATCGAAACATGAGGGGAGGGGGAATAGGACAAGGATAAAATGATTGCATTTGCTCCCGGACCTTGTCAAGTCAAAACAAAGGCGGCTCTTAAAAGTAGGTGGTACATTAGCACACATTCGCATGGATAGGCAATGCATCACCACCACTAGTACATTGTGCTCGTTATTCCAAAGATATCAATAAATACATCTATTGTTGGGGATTGATGCGTTAAAGAAGTATGTGTTGCACCACTATATAGATCATTGCTTTACCACTTGAAATGCTCCTTGGTGCCTAATGACATTTGGCTGTGTTCCTTGATGGACCCTTTGTGGTAGGCACATTTGTAGGCAAATGGTTGTAACCCGAATCTGATGGGAAATTTTGGGACTCCTTTGCAGGCGACATCTGAGAGAAGATATAGTGTAAGAAATTCACCATACAATGAAGTCTCTAATTCTTTTATTCTTTCATGCACTAGACCACTAATACGATGGGCTGAATGGAACGTAGGACATAACTCTAGATGACAAGGTACCACAATTTCGACAATTTACAATGTTTTGCCTATCGCAATAAGGGAGAGAAAGAATGTAGGAAGAGTGAAAAACCAACTAAGCAGGGTTTTGGCCATCTCTTGATCATTTGCGTTGATTGGAACTTGTGCTGCTTGACGATGATGGCACGTTATTGAATGATGGCACGTTATTGAATGATGGCACGTTATTGAATGATGGCACGTTATTGAATGATGGCACGTTGTTGAATGATGGCAAGTGTCGATTCGAAACAGAACTCTCGGCACTTTCCATTCGCACGGCTTCATGCGTGGCAATACGTGTTGTGGTAGCTGCATGTGTGGCTCTGCGTTTGCTGCTAGCTTCACGTGTGGGCTCGTATTCGTCACTGTCATCATCAATGCTTCTATCGTTTTCAGTCTCCTGTATCATAATGTTCACATTATTACATTGTAATTGAAAGTGGATTTTTACTGATAACTTACAACAATTTCCGAATCCATGCTCATTGCATCAGTGCCGATTGACGATGATACAGGGTTGGGACATTGTCAACGATCTATATTGGAATGATGTCATTCAAGACATACCACTCTCTCGGCATAGACGTTGTCATCCTAAATAAAGTGCTGTTAGAAATCGTCTATCATGTCTGTATTGTTAACTTACGAATGCGAAGAATGGTAATTGTATCACATCAGGATCGATGTAAGCGTCGGTGATCGCAGTAGAAGAAGTTGTGTGTGAGAAATCATAAGCGTTTACACCTCCGTGAGCAACGTGATCCCAATTCTGTGGATGGAGATAGGCGGGGATCATCACTTGTTGCTGATGCAGTAACACGTTCATATTTTGCACCCTCGTCAAGAATCGAAACAGCACTTAGAGGTATCAGCGATATTGGTCATTGCTGCTATTGGTGCTATTGCTGATATTGCTACCGACGTCCTCTGTGGTACGAAGTGTGCATATTCCAGCTTTGACATCATCATGGATACCCTCAATGCCAGTAGCTGTAGTCTTCACAATGCCGTGGTACTTGGTTGATGCTCCTAGTCATAAAGCTACATGCTGATAATCCACCGCTACTGCTATGTTTTCAGCATCATGTCGTTTGCTGATTTGACCCGTGAACCAATATGCAAAACTCTTGTGGTTGCTGCTGCATGGTGGAATATCGAACCATCTGAGTTTGCGACACAACCATGGAGCATGTACTTCTTATGTCACCTACAAAGAAGGGGTCCCAAATACCTATTAGACTAGGCATCCTTTTAATATATAAATGGTAGTTATATACTTACCACAAAGGATCCATCAAGGAGCACAGCCAAATGTCATTAGGCAGCAATGAGCACACCAAGTGATGGTAAAGCAAGAGAGTGAGCTACATAGATGAATGCATGAGTACCCTCATTTTGGCCATCACATAAAGACTATCCTTGAGACTTACCAAAGATCATTGATGATGATATGAATACAAGTAGAAAGAAAGGGCGCATGATAGCGTTGATGCAAAGAGCCTTGTTTATATGTGAGCGGGCGTGAGAATTGTTGTCATGATGGATCGAACTGATAAAGTGGTCAAGCATCTTGAAGTACTGTATCGAAGTGATGGAAAACAACAGCTGATAAATCCACCTGCCATTTGAAAGGTGATATATTGTAGGTGGCATAAGTATGTCCTGCTGCCGTCATAAACATCCTTCATCCTTGATAAGAAAATAGCTGCTGCATGCATTGACCCGAGTATTCCAATACCATCCATGGCTGTAAACATCTCTCGTCCATTCCATCCAATCCACCATCGTCATCATCATCCTCAGCCGTATTCACGTGATATGATCCATTCTTCTTGCTGACAACACGCTCCCAAAGCAGCATTCCATGTTTCCCCATCACTGCACTTGATTGCATCCATCCATCCATCCATCATTGAGCAGTACAAATTGAATACGTTGGTTGAAACGAGCCATGCAATCGCTGTTGATAGTATGCCTCCTTTTCCATCCAGCTGTTGGTCAACCACTTTCTTGGTCATTTCCTTATCGTAGCTCTTGTATTGCTAGCGTACTTCATAACTGATATGGCATCTTCCATAGGTCTTCGTACGTAATAAAGCAAGTTGATACACGTAAATAAAGATGCTTCAATATAATGGCTATCTGCTGTGCACATAAAAAAAGGCTGCAAGGCACGCTGCTGCAAGTGACTTGAGGCGATGGAGTAAAGACCTTGCTGTTACGTTTGGTTGTGGCAGAGGAGCGTGCAAGAGCGTGTGTTGTAGTAGAGTGACAAGGCTTTGAACACCACACGAGTCATTGGAGAAGAGACCTTACTGATTGCAACTGCTGTTATGATTGGTCGTGGTCGTGGATTGTACAAGAGAAGGTGTGGTGTCAAGGAACACGGGTGCTGTAGTGGGCTGTACACGCCATGGACTTGCCATTCAGTCAAAGACAATCGAATCAAGACATTCGTAGCATTGACATGATGGGTTGAAGCAGGACAATCGTTCGCAGGTGGTAGTTGTATACTTGAATGGGGTAACAGTTGAGATTGCGAAGAAGAGGCAAGGGGCTGAGAGTGGAAGAAGTGGAAAATAAATGGGTCGGACACCTCTTGTATAAATGCATGAACACTGTACATCCAATTCTTGATTATGAGATTGCCCCTCTCGAACCTGAAACTTTCGCACAAGATGCTTTTGGACATTCTGATAAATGTTGTATTAAAAAAGACTTCATGTACATTTGAAAAATTGGAATGGGAGCGTGCAATGTGGGTTTACTATGTAAGTCGGAAATGGAGGTCAGCCCCGGATTCACGATTGATCGAAATAGTATGTATTACCTTGGGATCCCCCATTTCGAACCTGAAACTTTGTCAGAAGGTTCGCTGCAACATGTTGATCAACTTCATTCATTTAAAAACCATACACTTCATTATGAACATTTAAAATGCGGGGTGGTCCAAATGGTGGATGATGGGAACAAAAGAGCGGACGGCCCACCGCCCCGAAGTTGCTCACTTCCAACTTGAAAATTAGTCAGGATGGTGCTCCGAGCATGCTGGTCCACTTTTTTCATATAAAAACCTCACGCTTCGTTTGAAAATTTAGAACGAGAGCGTCCAAAAGTTTGAACGACGGAGACATTCGCAGGGTCTGTCTTTCAAGAATTGACACATTCTCTGTTTGGGCGTAGCTCACCCAAATCGGCTCGGATCAAGAAACTTGAATGATGGAAATGATCGGCTGGAGCAGGAGCATTGTTCACATGTAATAGAATCAACAACAGTGTCGATTGTGAGGAAGTGGATGTTAGCTGCCAATCATAGATGGTGTATATGGTATCGTACATTGGTCATTCCAATCATGCAAAATGGCTCCGTTACACCAAGAAGTCCCTCTGCATCTTTTGCTCTGCCAGGGTCCAGCTACTTTACATTAACAAAGTCCACTCTTCATATGTAGCATCACGCTTACAAACATAAAGGTGCCTGTATCTCCGAACTTTACAATGAAACGTGGGGTTTTTATTAGAGCAATGGGCTCGGCTTGGCCAACTGCACCTTGGGTGCCAGTTTCACGATCAAGCTTGCCAATCCCAGATTTCGCAATGTCGCTACCAGCCAAACTGGATCTGGGGGTCGAACTCTTCGACGACGACGACCAAAAATATTTTTTGGGCTGTTTGCGACATTGAACGCGAAACTTTCACACAAGGTGCTGTTGGCCAAGCCGAGCCCATTGCTCTAATAAAAACCCCACGTTTCATTGTAAAGTTTGGAGATACATGCACCTTTATGTTTGTAAGCGTGATGCTATATGAGAAGTGGTCTTTGTTCATTGTCTAGTAGGTGGACCCTGGCAGAGCAAAAGATGCAGAGGGTCGTGTTGTGTAACACAGCTACGTTTGCATGAATGAAAGGGTCAATGTATAATTACTTTATGGATCATCTAGGAACAGGCATGTATTGCTAGCTAACGGCCACTTTTATCCAATCATCATTGTTGCGAGATCCACTGCATGGGAACGATGCCCCTGCTCTAGACATTCATTTCCATGATTAAAGTAGGTTGATCCGAGTTGATTTGACTGAGCTGCGGTCAAAGAGAGATTACATCACTCTGGACATAAAGCACGCTCGATGTAGCTCAACCGATGTAATCTTGTGTGAGCGTAACTCAACCAAATCAGCTCGGATCAACCTACTTTAATTATGGAAATGAATGTCTAGAGCAGGAGCATCGTCCACCTACAATAGAATGCACAAAAGTTGGGAATGCACAAAAGTGGCTATTAGCTGCCAATGTATGGCCTGAAAATGAGGGTTGCGTACCTATCATGCATTGTCCCTGAAGTCCTGACTTTTTAGCTGAGTTACCCAAAGAGGTCCTTCTGCATCTTTTGCTCTGACAGGGTCCACCTACTTGACAATGAACAAAGACCACTCTTCATATAACATCACGCTTACAAACATAAAGGTGCCTGTATCTCCGAACTTTACAATGAAACGTGTGGTTTTTATTAGAGCAATGGGCTCGGCTTGGCCAACAGCACCTTGTGTGAAAGTTTCATGTTCAATGTCGCAACTAGCCCAAAAAATATTTTTTTGGTCGTCGTCGTCGAAGAGGTCGACCCCCAGATCCAGTTTGGCTGGTAGCGACATTGCGAAATCTGGGATTGGCAAGCTTGATCGTGAAACTGGCACCCAAGGTGCAGTTGGCCAAGCCGAACCCATTGCTCTAATAAAAACCCCACGTTTCATTGTAAAGTTCGGAGATACAGGCACCTTTATGTCTGTAAGCGTGATGTTATATGAAGAGTGGTCTTTGTTCATTGTCAAGTAGGTGGACCCTGTCAGAGCAAAAGATGCAGAAGGTCGTGTTGTGTAACACAGCTACGTTTGCATGAATGAAAGGGTCAATGTATAATTACTTTATGGATCATCTAGGAACAGGCATGTATTGCTAGCTAACGGCCACTTTTATCCAATCATCATTGTTGCGAGATCCACTGCATGGGGACGATGCCCCTGCTCTAGACATTCATTTACATGATTAAAGTAGGTTGATCCGAGTTGATTTGACTGAGCTGCGGTCAAAGAGAGATTACATCACTCGGGACATCAAGCACGCTCGATGTAGCTCAACCGATGTAATCTTGTGTGAGCGTAACTCAACCAAATCAGCTCGGATCAACCTACTTTAATCATGGAAATGAATGTCTAGAGCAGGAGCATCGTCCACCTACAATAGAATGCACAAAAGTTGGGAATGCACAAAAGTGACT